GATACTTGGGTGTATCGATACATTTTACGAGTATCGTTATCTTCCGATCCGCACCTATGAAACGTCAAAAAAAACCTGTAAGATATCATCTTGCAAACTAGATAGTTTTTAGGGCGCAAACAGTCATTCCACGTTTGCCCACTAGGATCGTTGTGAACGTCCATCTAAGGAGGAATCACTCAACTAAAGTAGACGCATTATTGGTTGCATATGTTTTGTGAGGCCAAACGGTCCTTGTCTGTAGTTTTTATCTCTAGAACTTCTAGCTTTGAATCTCAATTAAGTGTATTCGAGACAAGAACCCAATGTAATTATCATCAAAACATACAACTTACAGCTTAGACCTCCAGTAATGCCATCTCAGAAGCCGATTTTACATCACATCAGAGCCAAAGATTGATAAGGCTCATGAGGTTTGGGCAACACGTACAACTAAGTGCTAAGTTAATATCTTGTAAAAAAACCTACATAATGTCACTTTTGAAGATACGTGATACCCGTGCCGGACTGTGTCAGAAAGAGTGACTAACTTCAGATTACTTTTCTTCACGACCTCACATAATTTATTTTGGATTCCAGGGTTGCCACATTAGGGGGTTTTACCCAGAAATCAGGGGATTTTTATTTCAATGGGGAAGATTTTAGGGATACTTTTTTGGGGAAACATTTTACTGGGGAGGTATCGTTATGAAAAATTTTATTGTATTGTAATATTGTACTTGATTATAAATAAGTACATTTACCTTTCGGGATATTTAGTACGAAAAATATTCGCCCAAGGAAAATATTTTAAGATCCAAGAATACCTAACGAATCGTAAGCCTATGGCAACAAAAAATAAATGGTATCGTCCTGAAGTTAGGGGATTTTTACATTTCTATTTAGGAAATTGAGCTAAACGACCTGGCAACCCGGTTGGGTTCGGTTTCGATACTGGTGGTATCGATATTTTTATATCGATACTTCACAAATCGATACATGGTACCGACCCTCTTCGTGGATCGGAACATCCCTAACTTTAGTACAATATATACTAAGTGACATATAAATCCGAACACCCAGTTTAAATGGTTTTATTTTAATAAAAGTTGGTGAATGTATTTATCTTACTGTAAATAACAAGTGAAAAAATGTTCAGCCTTATCAGTTGGACATTCCGGTTTTTATACTGCTTTTTTTTAATTCTCTAACGCTCTAAAAATGAATATTTCAGCCGCAGTAAAGAATCAACGTTGGCGGATTTTGGTTCTTGACATCCTTTACGATCGGTTACGATGCCTAGAGTACGGAGACCTGTACGATTTCGTCAACTTAGTGAGTTTGATAGGGGCCGTATAGTGGGACTTCGGGAAGCTGGACTTTCTTTTCGGGCAATTGCAGTTAGAGTGCAAAGAAGTGTAGACACTGTGGTTAGGTGTCGTCAGGCATGGCTTCGAGAAGGCCGTACGCAAAGAGCAAGGGGCACTGGACGCCGCCGTAGAACAACAGACCGTGAAGATCGTCGCCTAAGATTATTGGCCTTAAGGGACTGTTTCTCCACTACCAGGTCCATTGCAAATGAATGGTTTGCAGAACACGGAAGACCTATTGGCATGCGAAGTGTTTACCGACGAATGAGAAGTTTTGGCTTGTTTTCATACCGGCCACACTGGGTCCTCCCTTTAACTCGAGAACACCGACGTAATCGCCTTGAGTGGTGCAGACAACGGTCACTCTGGGATCAGGAATGGAACAGTATTGTCTTTAGTGACGAGTCTCGATTTTGTTTAGGCATGCACGATGGTCGTGCCAGGGTTAGAAGGCGACGTGGTGAAAGGAGGAATCCACAGTTTTTTGTTGAAAGACATGTTCATCACAGTGTTGGAGTTATGGTTTGGGTGGGGTGCTATAGCTTATGGTTCCAGGTCACCTTTAATCTTCATCAGAGGTAACATGAACGCGCAGCGTTATATCCACGAAGTTCTAGAACCCCATCTTTTATCCTATCTTGACACCCTGGCAGATCCAACTTTCCAACAAGATAATGCCCGACCACATGTTGCAAGAGTCACAATAGACTTCTTTCAACATAATGATGTCACATTGTTACCATGGCCACCAAGATCTCCCGACTTATCTCCAATTGAGCACGTGTTGGATATGAGAGATTGCTCAATTTGCAACGTCCTCCTCAGACTCTAGAAGCACTTCGAGAGGAGTTGGTGGTTGCCTGGAATGAGATACCACAGGAGGACATTGACCACCTGATCAGAAGCATGCCTAGGCGCGTTGGAGAATGCGTAGCACATCAGGGTGCATCCACACATTATTAAAGGTCGAAGGGCTTTAAAGCAGTGCAATCATTTTGAAATTTTTATCATTTACTTATTATGCTTCATTAAGTACTTATACAAAATTTTATTAAAATAAAACCATTTAAACTGGGTGTTCGGATTTATATGTCACTTAGTATATTTTCAAGAAAAATGTTTGTTATGTCACCACATTATTTCTATTGCCGTAAAAATAGAAATTCCTCAGCTGATTCTTTAATAATGCGGCTTGTTACATAACTGCATTCTAGTCTTTCATATCCTAAAAATGGGTGAAAGATAAGCGTTATCGGCTAAGTACACTGAAAGGAAGGAAGTCGGCTTGTTGACTGTTCTGCCCACAGCACTTTGATGTCTGCATTTAATACTTAAAATATTTTCTTCTCTGCAAACGCCAGTTTACAGCTAGTTAGCTGAAAAGCTTTTCCTTGCTCTAGTAGCAACAAAATGAATGAACAAATAGTATCTCAGAGAGTAGCCTTCTTCCTCTTACGTGTCAGGATGGAACTCAAAGGCTAAGACGAAAGTGTTTGCCAAGGTCTTTGTGGCCAACTCCACCAATCCCCAAATGTCGTCGATCCAAACAGTGTTTCAACATATTTGATACTTTAGAAATACTTTAATTCGGCTCGCTCAAATTGTATATTGACCTGTCGAGTTATACGTGAACTACGAAGACTCTGAACGGTCTAATGTTTCAACTCTCACTGCAGACATGTAAGTAAACACGAGAAAAGCATTACCCGTATATATCAATCAATTAAAATCAGCTTTTCTCTTTCTATAATGAGTAATTATACCGTATAACTGAGTTACATCGCAATACACGCAATGTTTTGACCAATTATGTACAACGTTTCTTATAAACTATACAACTGTTATTTTTGAAAGAAAAGTGGTGTCGGGTTTTTTATTGCCATAAAGTAAAAGTGATAATTCACTATCATTTTTCCATATCGAATGTTTACTCCCCATGCAAAGCCACGGGAGCTTTGGTCTATCTGTCGTTCCTGAACATCTCTAAACTTAGTTTTACGCAAGGCAAGACATTTTTAACAAAGTCCAAACAGCGTTTGTCGATGTTTTCCGTCTTCCTGAACTCTTTGAGATGTTGTGATTTTTTCAAACATGCTCAAAATATTTGAGACTAAATTAAACACGTTTCAAATAGTTCACCGGTCATTTTTGGGTGACACCAATATCGTTTGTGAGTTACAGAGTTTCTTTTTATAAATTGCCGATATATTACGTATCAGCTTGATGGTGCTGTTACTACTTATTAGTATTTAGAAATGTTTTTCTAAAAATATATTCAAATGTACAGGGTTTTAATCAAGTATGTTTCATAAATTAAACATTGAGTAACTTTAAGACAAAAAGTTCATATCAACATGGCATGCAAATTCTCCGTTCTCAAGATACAGAGTGTTAAAAATTACAAAAAAATACAACAAAATTAGGTGAAGGATATTCAAGAAATTTACGAAAAATTTTAACATCCTGTATTTTGAGAACGAAGAATTTGCGGACCTACCCGTATATGAACTTTTTGACTTAAAATTCCTCAAAGAATCGTCTGTCGAATTTATGTTACATACCTAATCAATCACTAAAGTTTTAAATTTTTCGAAAACGCTGTAATGTTGGAAAAAAGCCTCAAATGCATACATCGATGACAAAAATTATAATAAACTAATCGAGTTAATGACTTCAATTTGTTAAGATTTAGACATAAATACGCTCAATTACACACTCGACTGGGTCCAATTAGAATTATTACAAAATATTACAGCTATCAAGATAAATTGTGTGGATTGTCTCAAGTCGAGCGCCTTTACGTAGCTGGTAAAAATAGACATCAAGAGGATATACAGTCAACACTCGGCAGATGAAATGGTAATTTTATCCTTTACGTGCAGAGCATTCGGTGTGGGTACAGCAGTCCAATAAAATTTTATTGGAAAAACATTCTAATTTTAGTCTAACGATATAAATTGTACTTGTAAATACATTTATTTACCTACTGTCGGCAGATTGTGATATAGATGACGTCTGTTAAGCTATTATCTAGATTTTTAATCATTTGAATTTGTGGAATGTCAGATACTACTACCTTTTAGCTTTGCATACATTTCAAGCATGTGTCCAACTCAAAAATTCTCACTATGCACCTATGCACTGCCGTTTCTTTCCAGCAGTATTATACAACTTACAGCTTACACCTCCAAAAGTGCCCATCTCTCAATCCCTCTCAAACATTGACAGCTGAAGCATCATTACGCTTAGGCAACACGTACAGCAACTGAACGAGTACACAACAAGTGTACAACAACTGGTGCTAAGTTGACATCTTGTAGAAAAACCTACATAATGTCACAAGAAACCTATATAATGTCAAAAAACCGACATAATGTCACTTTTCAATACAATACACACGCGGACAAATTGTCGTAGCGTTTTTCTGGGTTCTTTTGGGTGTGGATTAAAACAGTCTATTCCACAAAAAGAAATGCACTAATTTATTTAACTTTTATATGCACCACTATGTATGCCTCACTAATTCTTATGTCACCATTGACTGCACGATACTTATCTCCGCTCTGCCACTCTACCGTATTCCGTACTCTGCTCCATCTCCCGGCCGCCGAGTTATATATAGTCCCAATTGCCGCTTCGAGAAAGACCACAAAGCGACATCTAGAATGTTGGAAATCACTTCGCGTCGATCTAGAAGGCGATCCACTGTCATGGTCCTCACAGACGCCGCCAGGCGGCTTGTGCGGTAGTGTATAAGCAGAGATCGGCCATTATGCTCTGTCGAGTAGGAGACTCGCCCAACAGATGGCGCTATTTGTTACATTGTGATTGAGACTAGTGAATATTAGCAATAAGCTTTAGCGTCTGCTCTAGATTTCTATGTATTTCATTTCATACAATGATACAAACTTTTCGTGGAATGGACGATCAAATAATAAAAGTGCGAGCTTCGACTAAAAAAAACATTGGCAGCAAAGGAGACGTAAGTAATTTTTTATGCCAGTAAACCTTGCATTTGTAGGACAAATTTTCCAACTGGATTTTTTGTTTCATAATCACGTTTGTCGGATGAATTTTTTTAAACAAATTGTGTATAAATGAAATAAAAAATACATTTTTAAAAGCAAGCTTTTATTTACTATGAAGTGAATTAAAAATTTAAAAATATGTTTTTCTGATTGGTAATATTTAAACGATAATGAAGCTCTTTCATCTCAAGTTTTCAAATAAAAGCGTATTAATTTATATTTTTTTGAATGATTTTTTTATTTTCTATATTTTTGTTTATAGTATTTCTGATGTCAAATAACTATATAGTTTGGTAATTCTATATAATTTTCATATATTTGTTCTTTTAGTTCAGTATGATTATTAATTTGTTGTTGAAAGAATAAGAAAAAAAATAAATAATAAGTTTTTATTTTGAATAAGGATATTTATTTTCTCCAATAAACTCAAGGAAAATATTGTTTGTTCATAGTGGTCGAGTCGTATATAATTGTAAGCATGCGAGGTCTGTAAATTAAGTATTGAGACTGATTTTTGTTAGTTTTTTTTGTGTTTCCAGGTCAAAACAATAAGATTCATCAGAAATTGGAATGAAAAATCGCCAGATTTAAAAAAATCACCAGGCATTATAAATGCTAATTTTTTGAGCTGTATTACTAATTGTAAACGAAAAACATGCATTTTTAATGTTTGTATACAACTTAATAATTAAATTGTTTAAAATATTACACAATTCACTGTAAATTAAACATTTAATAGTTATATAATAAAAACGCATAGGTAAATATGTCATCTACCATTATAATTACTCACCTTTTATCTTGCAAATTCAATTTTAAAATGCACAGTCGAACTGTATCAGTTTAATGATGAACATTATATACTTTCAAAAATATAAATTATAAAAAAGCGCGGAAGTAATAATAGATTATCAGATAATGGTTAACGCGTTCACGACGAAACGAAATGACTAAAACCAAAACAAGAACAAGGAAGACACAGTGATGAATCCCTCAATAGGGTATCGCAAACCGTAGCGAAACGCGGTACCAGTTGGGAAATTTACTAATTCAAGGAGCTTTTGGTAGCCGAAAGATTTTTATAGACATTTAAAATCGACGAAGCTTTAAAAATCACGAAAAGGCAGATCTGATGAAATTTCACCAGACCTGGCAACGCGGTTCCCCTGTCTCCCCCCAAACCCGGCACCTCCAGAGTTGCAAGATCGAACGCTACGTTGCCAGTCTTATTACCTAATTTACAGACCTAGTACCTGCTTGGCGCTACGGTACATTATGACCATTTTCGCTCAGGGCTTTCGGCACTGCTTGCTCGAAAAGTACAGTCAGGAGGCATTTCTAGAATGGTAGTGCCCTAATTTCTAGGCTCACGGATATACAGTCAGTAACGTGGTTTTGTTTTTTTGCAGGGTAACCCCTAAAAGAAGCGGACAAAATGTCCACCACAGCTAGCGTCAAATACGTCGCGACACCTAACGGCAAAATAAACAACAATTCCAGCATACCATTAAGGAAGCCACTGAGCAGACAGTCTTCCACGGTAAGCAGCCCTTCCAGGATTCCAGTGAACGACCCGGCGCACAGGTGGAAGCTCAAATTTGAAGAGGCGGAAGAACGTAGGAAGCAGCTGCTCACAGAGAAAGAAAAAAGTATGTTGTTACTCTTTTAAGAGGAAATGTGAATCTAAGTATTTCCTGATCTGTCACAAAATATCAGTATAACACCCGAAACGTCAATACTAAACTCGTTCAGAGGCATTCTACCTCATACTTCAAAAGGTCTCCTTTCTACAATTGGATTCTCTTATTTAACAGCATTAAGGCACTCAAAAGCGACAAGTTGAAAGGTTACTCATATATACCCGAAGTAACGAGTACCAATCCGAGCTCGAACTTGATTACTCTGTTTCCCGTACCCGGTACCCCTACAATCGTTGATCGTTGAGTGGCAACGCTGGTATCACTGTAGCACTGCCGCTCATGCGTCAGGGTTGCCAGACATCCCACATTCGCGTGGAAACCCGGAAACTCCAGATTTAAAAACAATTACCAAATTCTATGTCCGCCAATCAAAAACAAAAAAGGTTAGCTATTTATTGTTGTGATCTTGGCAACCTGAAAAGGAATAAGGATTCGATTGGATTGGAGCAAAGTTCGGCAGTAGTATAAGGCAGAAAAGCACCGTTCAGGTAAACGACAATAACAAAAATTAAGTCAATTTGAATCGTGTTTACTTGTACTGTTTTGCTAAAAAAAAATATAATTCAGTATGACCACCAGTGGTACGTGTAGACTAAGCTCCACGTAGAATTCTTTGAAGCTTAATTGGAATGATTCGAAAAGTGTTTTAAGCATTTCTAGTAAATACAAAGTATTTTCAGTTTGTAGGCTCATATGAGTCGTATGACACTCTATCCTAAAATAATCCATCTTGATAAGCATAAAGTTTGAAGATACGATGTTTGCATTAAACACGGCAGATTTCAATAATTTGAAACAATTTGCAAATTACAAGGTTGTCTATTTTTCGATTGAACTTTTTCAAATTCGACATTAATTACACGACGCACGTTGCCAAATCTTTATACTCATACTACTCATAGTAATCAAAGTAACGAATATAATAAATGATTACTTTGCAGAAGAGTAACGATTAGTAACGAGTACTGGAAAGTAACGAGAATCAACACCACTAGTTCAATCTTGCACTGAAGACGGATCGCTTGTTCTCCTGTGTCCCCGCTAAAACCGGCACCTCCAGTGTTGCCAGATCGAACGCTACGTTGCCAATTTCATTACTTAATATACAGACCTCGTAGTTACCAAAATAAATAGTGTAAAAATAAATATAATCACATACAATGGTTATTATAAACAAACGAAACTTCGATACCTAAAATACAATCAATATGTAACCTTAGTGATTCAACGATGTGTTTTCAGCCAAGAAATTTTGTAAACGCAGTCCTCAAAGGTTTAATCACTCGATTAATTAGGCGGCTTGAATCAGCATTTTATAGTATATATGCAAGTGTAGATTACGAGAGTTTTTAACAATCGTCTCACAGACCTCTAACATTAGTTTGCCTCTTAGCGGTTTGTGTTTGAAAAATGGAGACAATCAGATTAGGTATGTAATTTAGGATAACCAGGGAATATGTTGTTTCAAGATGCTATTCATAAAATTCAAAATACGCCATTGTGAGCAATTTTTTGAAACTACTGATATAATTTTTGCCAAAAATATATATTCCTTAGTTTTATACGTAAAATCCAAAAAGAAAGATAAGATATTCGCTTTATTGATAGAATAACAGTACCTCCTCAGAGAACTTCATGTTTTACTAAATGTTTTACTCATAATGCTACTATCATGTACAATGATACTTAAGCTTTGAATTTCGAGACTTTCAAAAAGAATTTAAAAGAAATCATTTTCGAGCAAACACTAACATAAATACATCTGTCACTTCTGCGTACGTATTAACATCATTCTATAACTATGTATAATGTTATACTTGTCCCTTTTATCCGAATTTGATTAATCTTACTCAATTAATTCGTTTTTATGTTAAAACCTCTGCATTTTTTAGTGGTATCTGTATATTATTTTTATTATTTTGTGGATAGACATTTTACGGGTTAAGTGGTAGAATATCATATGTTAAACTACCTCCAATAAAGACATTTTATTATTATTATACAATACAGATCAATTATGACTCTTTGTTTCAGCTCTGCGAAGTCTCAACGAGCTGGAAAAGAAGTATATGAACTTACAGATCAAGCACGAGCAACTAGAGACTGAACTGTTCGAGAAGAACGAAGAATTTACCAGGCTTTCGACTGCATCAAAGAACTTGTACAAAGAATACGAAATACTCAAGAATCAGTATGAGACTGAAACTAGAGCTATGTCAGGGTGAGTCTCTATTGTCGAGTGCCAACCGAACGGATACCCATGCGTTATTTTTTATCAATTTCAACTGGTGCCAAGATTTCACAAATTTTTGAGCCGGGTTTGTCAGTGGTTTGTACAATTTACTAGTTAAAATATGTGGTTTGTTCACAAGAATACGAAATACTCAAGAATCAGTATGAGACTGAAACTAGAGCTATGTCAGGGTGAGTCTCTATTGTCGAGAGCCAACCGAACGGATACCCATGCGTTATTTTTTATCAATTTCAACTGGTGCCAAGATTTCACAAATTTTTGAGCCGGTTTGTCATGGGTTTGTAGAATTTACTAGTCAAAATATGTGGTTTGTTCATTTTCTATATACAGTTCTCCTCGACAGTAATTACACTTGAAATAATTGAATTTAAAAAAGGTTAAACCAGTTTTGTGAAAATAGCACATACTGCCATATACAGATACTCGCGAGATTTACCTTGAATTCTAAAGCAAACTATTTATTCATAGATTTAATAATAACAAGATTGTAGGTGATTTACAGTAGATTAACGATCTTCTAGATAATAGGGTAAAATTTTCATTTCAGCGGGATATCAATATCTTGCCTCAAAAAAAACCTCGAGTTGTGACGAAATAAATTCTATCGAAATATAAGTTTTATTTCACAAAAAATTAAACGGACGAGTAAAAAAGTAGGATAAACTAGTTTAATTATAATAAATATTTATTTTTAATAATGCTTTATTACTTCCTATGCCAAAACTGGCGAGGAACTATAGAGTCAATCCTCTTGCCATTTTTTTTGTTAAAACTTATCACTCAGTAATGTGATGAATGTCACATTCTTGAAGGTCTACATGATTGATGACCTAAATAATGGGTGATTTTTTTGCTAGTATCTTTTTGGCAACACTGTGTTTGACAGATGACGCGTGAATCGTGTCTTGTGTCATTGTCAAACTTGTTCAGTTTGGTCTATAATTTAACCATGAATCGACTTACGAACGAACATCGCTTGCAAATTATTGAATTTCACTATCAAAATTCATGCTCGGTTAAGAGAGTGCATCGAGCACTGCTTCCAATTTATGGGCAATTTGGTCGGCCTACTGAAGGAGCTATTCGGAAGCTTGTGACTAAATTTCGAACCCAGTTTACGTTATTGGACATTAAACCAACAAAACGCAGACGTAGAGTGAGGACTGAAGAAAATATTGCGGCTGTATCCGCCAGTTCAGCGACGAAGCTCATTTCTGGTTGAACGGGTACGTTAACAAGCAAAATTGCCTTATCCGGAGTGAAGACCAGCCAGAAGCATTGCAAGAGCTACCAACGCATCCCGAAAAAATCACTGTTTGGTGTGGATTATGGGCCGGTGGCATCATCGGGCCGTACTTTTACAAAGACGACAATGGCCGGAACGTAACTGTGAATGGCGAGCGCTACCGTGCGATGATAACAAACTTTTTTTTGCCCGAAATGGAAGAGCTGGACTTGGCTGACATGTGGTTTCAACAAGACGGTGCCACATGCCACACCGCACACGAAACAATGGCCGAGTTCGGTGAACAGTTTATCTCACGTTTGGGGCCCGTCAATCGGCCGCCTATATCGTGTGATTTAACGCCGTTGGACTATTTCTTGTGGGGCCATGTTAAGGCTAATGTCTACAGGGATAAACCAGCAACGATTGATGCACTGGGAGCCAATATTGAAGCATTTATTCGTGAGATACCGGCCGATATGTTGGAGAGAGTGTGCCAAAGTTGGACCTTGCGCATGGGCCATCTAAAGCGGAGCCGCGGCCAACATTTACATGAAATAATCTTTAAACATTAAATTATATCGACCTTCCTATCGACTCAAATAAAGATTTAATCGTTTTTTCAATTTTTTTGTGTTTTTTTTAAATCAAATCCTATACCTCTTAAAAAATCACCCGTTATAATCCTGAATGTACTCGTAATTGTCACCTTTGACAAAATCGGCGCAATTCTCAAAATGGACTTTACAATAGGTAGTCGACCTACAAACTACGAACCTCTGGTATCTTCGATATTATTTGGGACTGTTTTCGCAAAAATTACTTTCGATAGGTATCAGATCAGGTAAAAAAGTTTACTCTATCTGCCCGTGAAAAAAGTTATTTACTGCATGAGACGCTTTCTGGCTGTATACTGCTCTCATTTGAGTAATCAAAATTGCACCCCAGACCATGTGGTTTAACACCATTAGATTCCTTTTAATTCGGTTGTTTTTATTCGTTGAAGGTTTATTTAGCATTAATGTTGTACAATTATTTGTTTACATATCTTGTTGGTCAATTTTTATGTAATTTTATTTGTATATTAAAATTACATGAATATGCATTTTGGGTATTCATAAAGTGATTTTATAATTTCACCGTACATATTTTTACATGCGAAGACTGTTAAATATTATTATTCAATTCATTCAATTCAAATACTCCCGTTTGAAATACAGATTTGCTTGTTATGCTATTACCATTTTGCAGACCAAAATCTATACTGCCTCTAGTTGCGTAGTTATGATGTCTCTAATTTTGTGATTTTTCCTAAATGTGGTGGTACAATGATAAATGATTTTTAATTTAAATGTGAGAATGGTAACTAATTAACATATAAAATTTTTTATATTCAACCACTGTAGTACTTCTAACATAGACTCTATCCTAGCATTTTTTTATTTAAAATTATTCTCATGGCTTTGTTTTGTAGAATTTGTATTTTTGAAAATATTTGGTCATGTAACATTCAACAATATAAAAAATGGGGAAGAATTGTAGTGATATACACAATTTTTTTGGAATATGTACCGAGATTATACGAAACTCTATATAATTTATCTTTTTTGATATCATTGAAATAATGTATTCATAATGCTCTTGAAACAGTAGTTATAGTATTTTTTAATGACTCGACTACTCCAATTTTTTCATCGTTAATCAATCAATTCATCATCAATTTATAACTTTTTTATATAACTATTTAACAGTTCCAAAGCAGCATCAAAATGTTTATACGTTACATACATCACTGTATCGTCCCTAAATATTTGAATTTTGCAACATTCTAAAATGTCAGAGATATCACTTATATGTATATTGAATAGTAACGGCCCTAATTTACTTCCCTGTGGCACTCCTACTGATATATTCTGAACGCCTGACATAATATTTCCATTTTCAGTTTTTTGACTTCTATTTATTATTATTATTATTATTATTATTATTATTATTATTATTATTATGATAATTGAGATGAGCAGAGTACACAGTACTATAAGCTCATGCAGTAAACATAGTGTACGGACACGTAACACAAATACATCAAATAGAAAAAAATAAAAAAATACAGTTCATAGCTATAAAGTTTGTACACTCCTCCAGCTATCATACTGCACTTTGAAGCTATTAACTGAAGTAGCACCAACCACACTTTCAGGTAAACTATTCCAGGTGTTGAGTATGCGGTTGGGAAGAAACCACTGTCGGACTGTTGTTTTAAATGGCTCCTTATGCAGTTTGAAGCTGTGTCCGCGTAGATTGCTGCGCGACAGATGGTATAGATGCATGAGGTTGGTGCCCATCAAACCATGAAGTATCCTGAACGTAACTATAAGATCGCCACGAAGTCTTCGCTCAGAGAATGAGGTCAGGTTGAATAATTCAAGGCGATCTTCATAGCTTGGTCTTCGTGCTCCAAAAGGGATACGAGTAGCCCGACGCTGTACTGATTCGACGAGATTTCTATCGCGCAGAAGCACAGTGTCCCATACCGGGCCAGCGAATTCAATAATTGGCCTCATGAATGCCTTGTAAATGTAGGCGCAAGTGTTGACATCGGATCCTTTGAAAGACCTCTCCAGCATATATAGAAGTTTCTTGGCTTTTGATGTAACGTGGTGAATATGCTCTGACCAGGAAAGACGATCGTTGACTACAACGCCCAGATCAGTGTGGCTCGATACTGCTTCGATGTTGTGGTCAGAGATCTTGTATGTAAATCGCGGATTTGTCTTCCCGAGGTGAAGGACACAACACTTAGTTAGATTTAAGGGTAAAAGCCAACTGACTGACCATTGACAAACAATATCAAGATCTCGTTGAAGCATAGCAGAATTTACGACAGGATTGTAAATCTTGGTGTCGTCGGCATAAGCTGAACATGTGGAGGAAATCAATGCGGGCAGGTCACTTGTATACAGAAGGAACAACACTGGCCCCAAGACAGAGCCTTGAGGAACTCCACTTGCTACATGATGAAGGTGAGACTGGCTGTCACTGACGCGCACAAAGAAAGTCCTCCCGGTGAGAAAAGCCTTAATCCACAGTAACAACTCGCCTCTTATTCCCATACATTCCAACTTAAACAGAAGCCTTCTATGTGGTACGCGATCGAAAGCCCTAGAAAAATCTAAGTAGATTATATCAACAGGAGTCTTTGTGTCCAGATACTGAGTCCAATCGTTGAGAGAGTGGAGAAGGTTGGTCATTATTGATCGACCAGGGAGAAATCCATGCTGATTCTTAGGGATAAGGTCATTTTCGAAAGCAAATGACTGGAGCTTATCTAATATGATTCTTTCAGCTATTTTGGCGGCGATAGGAACGAGACTTATTGGTCGATAATTTCGTAAATTCTTAATACTGAGCCTTCAAAACCACAATGATGTAATTTCATTAACTATTTTTCCCTATCTATAGTCTCAAATGCCTATATTATCCCTTCGAACAGCTTTTCAACATCTGGCAAGACATTTATCTGTCTCATATTTGTATATAGCTCAAAATGTTAAACCTTTGGCACAGGAGTAACGGTGGAACACTTTAATTTTGACGGGAATTCATCATGCACTAAACAATGATTCACCAATAATAATAATTTCTCTCCAATTATAGATTGTTGATTTTTATTGTCCTAAATTAATTCATCGACGAAAGTTGGGATCACCGTCATCAATCGTCTTCACTGTTGCTTACTAAAGTTGTAGTATTTAGGTTTTGCCTTCGTGATAGCGTGGAGTAAAAGTTAGTTGAAGTACGAAGAGTAAGACGATTATATTTTTAGAGCTCTCAAAGATGCGACTCAATGGTACAAAGAAAACAAAGAACTCAAACGCAAAACTATGCTGTTGATGGACAAAGATGCGGTAGATGAGGGCGTCGATGCAGGAGAAGGAGAATCGACCGGAGACAACGATATCGAGAACTTGAACAAGACCATCAAGCAACTAAGCGCTGAAGTAGCCGAGTTACAAACTGAAGTGGACCAGTTGAAACAACAGGAGTTCCAGACTACCGAAGAGAACGTCAAATTGGGAGAGGTAGAGTATCATTTATAAAAAGCTGAAAGGTAGATTCGGCAGGCTCAAATATGGTAAAGTTTATATAAGCATTGGTCAAGGTATTACGTATCTTGAAAAGTGACATTATGTCGTTTTTTGACATTATATAGGTTTTTTGGGAGTGTTGTCACTCGATGCAGCGTTGCCAGATGAAGCGTATAAAAATTTTCAAGGGTACATAACACGTTGAATAATTAAAATGTCATTTGTATTTTTTGTTTTATATGTTTTATCTGAATTTTGTAACCAATAAGGTCATTCTTTTAATTATCTCGCACTCGCTCATTTTTAAAAATCAATAATTATTATACAGGGTGTCTCAATATTCCATAGACGTAGAAATACCAGTATTTTCAGATTCAAAACACACATGTTTTGTTTGAAGTTCTACTATTTGATTTTTACGAAAAACTCAAAACAATTGAGAGTCTAATTCACACCCAATTGACGTCATCGGATGATGACAGTATGTCGTATAAAAGACCAAATACAAAGTCGATATGACGGCTCTATGACGTGGATATGACTTCTACCTGAGGTCAATATGACGTCTATGTGACGTCGATATGACGTACAGTCGCTCGCAAAAATAATCGCGCGATGTATTCAAATGCTTCTAAAAAATTGAGGATATGACAACGACGCCCGACAAGCAGTGAGTTCACAGGTGGTAGAAAGGCGGCCAAACGAAAAAAAAGATATTTTTGGTCGAAGAATTCCTGATACTTTTCTACAGCGTGACTTTGAAGTTGAGTCATTAATTTTCAGATAATGATTGTAGAAGGAAGATAAACCAAAATATGTGTGTAAAAATAAAAAAATAAAAATTTACCTTGTTTTATATAGTAGCCTCCCGACAAGTATTGCAGTGCGGACCTGTATTTGATCGTGAGGTCTTGGAACACCGGCATGCCGTCCATATGTGAGGTCTTAAGTCAAATGATTCACGAACCCGTTGTACTACATTAACAAAGGCACGAGGGGTTGGTTGCACTCGATTGGGAAACCGATCCGCATAAACATGTGCCATTTTTTATTTCGTTTGAGCCACGCAACAGACACCACTATCCACTACCGACTGACACTGACTGTATACAACTGAATGAAATAATTGTAAAAACATCGTTGCAAATTCTTTCGCTTTTTTGTTTCCGATGCGATGAACCGATAAGGCGGATTATATCCGTTGTCGCCAAACACGAGCACATAATATTATTATTGAGACAGGGCGGTACTCAAACTTCCAAAGGGCTATAACTTTGTTACTTTAATTTTACCAGAAAAATGGTAAAGGAAAAAAACATTTCTTTTGATCAGATCTACTCACTGTTAAAATAAATGACTCAACTTCGAAGTCACCCTGTATAAATAATAATAAAGTAGTGATTAGTATTTTGATATAGATATCCAGAGTTTACCTTACTGTTCATTAAAATTCTATATTTTCTTTGTTGGTAAGTGTACGTACTTTCTGTACTCACCGTTTTAAAAAAAACGTCAAAATGAAAGCCTTTTAAAGGACGTCTTGCTGACGTCATAAAAATGACGTCAATAAAAACGTCATTTTTTAGTCGATGACGCCTCCGACCAAAAGTGGTCGAATAATGACGTCATTTTGGCGTCATCGTGTTCACTGTTGAAACATATATCTACTTTAACAGGATTTGGAAAGCGAAAGACGGAAAACGGAAAAATTGGAGTCGAAGCTGGGCGATCTTCAGAAAGAGCACAACCAACTACTTAGGGTCATGGAAATGATGAGGAAAGAGTTGGAGGAATATAAACAGAAAGAAGAGGATCATCGGCAAAGTCTTGCTGCATTAAAGTAAGAATTTAAGCTGATCCGTAAATCACAATACAAAACTATGGTTCGCAAAGATCATATAAATTGCTGCTTTGCACTTTCTAGCACTGCCGACGCTTTTCTGCGAGTTGTTTTGCATAAAGTAATTAGACAAGTTTCGGTTTAGTGAGATCATAGTCTAAAAAAGTACCTGATAGCCTGACACTGTTATTAAACAAATGGTTTGGTTATTGATTTTTAACAAGCAAACAAAAATATAAAAGTTGTTTTGTTCTTATTCAATATTAGTTGTTTATTTTACACCACGACTCCTTCTCAGACATAACGATGCATCTGCAAAAAACATCACCACTTTTCCTGCGTTTACCTGTTTGTTGAGATCGTTCACAAAAAGAATAAAAGGTAATGGTCCCAGCACTGATCCCTGTGGCACGCCCAGCGATACAGGAAATGTTTGTATTTTGTATGTTTACCTTTAGATGACGACTTTTTAAGTAGGATTTGAACCAGTCCAATAATAACCCTCTTATGTCCAGCTGATGAAGTTTGTTCAGGATTATTGTGATGTTAAGGCTAAATCAAACATTATAGTTACTAGATATTTATTATTGTCTAAATGTTCATAGACGAAATTGAAAAGATGATATAAGGCTGACTCAACGTTTTAACTTAGCTAAATGAATATTTGTTGAAAATAATATGATACTGAATGTCAACAGATTGACGTAAACGAAAACTTGACAAAGATGCTAAATAGTTCAAATTTAATTCTTATGGTTTATTTTCGAGATTTTTGACCAATTTCTGTTACAGGAAAGAATCGGATGCGCATAAGAGAGAGAGAAACGTCCTAGCTCATCAAAGTACGTTAATTTTGCAAGGGTTAAACGACAGTGACAACGCTGGAGATTACATGATGCTTTTGCAAGAAATCGAAGATCTGAAAAGAACGTTGGAGGATGATAGGAATAAATATGAAGAAGAGATTAACATGTTGCAGGTGAGTCAGTTTTAATTTTATTTCGTAACCTTGACAAGAATTAATTTTTTATTGGTAAAGTATTGGATCAAATATGGAACAATCAAATTCAAGGTCATTTTTATGAACTTTTTATCATAGGTGTTTTTTTGATGGGATTTTTATTCAATCGTGTTTCTGTGTAACAATTTTAATGAACGATCAAAAGAGTTGATAATTTAGAAAAGTCAGACACTTCTTACTTTCTGAGTAAACATTTATTGACTATCTTCATAAGTATTATTTATATTGAAGGTTGATGATGATAATGATCTCGAGGGTGAGCCTGATGGTGAGTTATCTACGAGACGGTATCATTTAACAAAACCCAATAACGTATCACAAATAAAATTTGATTGTAGCATCATCAAACATCAAATAATGGCCACCATCATTTGCTTTCATACGCCCAAACGTACTTAACTTTTTTCAAGGCATTAACTTGTGCGGGAGTTCAATGGTATAATACAATAACTTGCTTTAACATGTAGACTATTTATTCGCCATTATAATAAATTGGTGTAAGTTTAAAACACAAAATGGGGGCAACTAAACATACTACTTTTTTCCGTTCGAGATGACGAATCGATTGGAGGGAACCAAGCCTATATGTTTACGTGGCATTGTTTGTCGCCAAAATTGTGATGTAGCAGCGTTGTATCAACATACATAATAATACGTACCAATGGAAACATCTACCTTCATTAAGCCTGTGCTGTCCTTTGCAAATTATGTAAGAAGTAGCACGTTTTGAAATCGTCTAACACCACAATTATCTGCAAACATTCGCACTTTTAAAGATAACAGTGAACGATTGGTAAATAACGCGGGTATGCCCTAGGTCGTCCTTTACGTCAAAAAATGACCAAAACGATGCTCTTAAAATCGGTTGGTTGAGCCCGTTCTGTCAAACGTCATTGCTGTCAAAATCTGCTTCTTTTCCAGTTCTTCTTTTGTGGGTACAAGAGGTTTGCATGTCGTTTTTGTTATTGTAGATTATATTTTCTTTAGCGCCGTATCTTCGAGTCATATAGTATAACAGCGAATATACAAAAGCTTAGCGAAGCAGAGGATGCCTACGGTTGATATATTCGATAAATTTAAATTTACTGTTGAAATTATGTCTTATGGAAGTCCTATTTATTATCTAAAAAACCTTTCCGTAACCACTACAACTATTACAGGAGCGCTTGGAAGAACAACAATCCTTCCCGCCCGACCCTCAAGTGGAGATCCTCGAGGAACGCCTGCGATTGGCCGAATCCGAGCTGGTCTCCGCCCAGCAGCGAGTCGAAGAGGCGGAGCAACGCCTGCGGTGCCCCCCACCACCTCCTCCGCCTCCCCTACCACCGATGGCGCCGCAAGCGCCTCTGCGGAGACGCAGGAGCCGTCTGCTTATCGATGGAGGCGCTACCGCAGCGAAACAGTTGGAGGAGGGGCAGACATTGTCGGAGCAGAAGGCGGAACCAAGTGCTGTCGGTGGGACGCCGGAGAAGAAGCCTGCCGCAGCTGTAAGTGATGCGGTCCTTTTTTTTGATACCCTTGTTTGTCGCGAAGATCTATTACCCAAATATCACAATTATACGTTTTAAAAACGACGTATTGTGAACACTGTACGACACAGTAAAGATGTCTTTATAATACGTTTGTAAGGTATTTATTGTCGCATTGAAAAATGGCGTCTAGTAGATTGACGCTATGCTTCCTAGAGCGGTACTTCTGAGGATGGATTTCTCTAACTGGATCATCCTGCATAATTCTAGTTTTGGGTCATCTCAAACTTTTTTCAGGTTCCTTGTGCCAACGAAGATATTATTAACGCCATAAAGTCGGGTCAGTTCACGCTGCGTAAACCGAAGAAGGAAAAAGAGAATAAAGACAAAGAACAACAACCTAAGGCAGTGTCGGAACTGCTGAACATCCTCAGTAGTTTGAGAAGGGCGCCGAAAAAGAGGCAGAGCCAATATATAGGAGATGTACAGTTATAACTATTTATACATACCATTTGTGTATTTTTATATTAGTTTTTCATAATTTTTATATGAGAATTTGTTAAAATAAAATGTATATATTTCAATTTTGTTTCCATATATTTTCTTCGGCGTAAAACCAAATAGCACAACTATATCTTAAATACGTTTTAAAAATGTCATTTTGGGATATTAGAAACGTCATAAAGACGTCTCGTGAACGCTGTACGACATCTTAAAGACGTCGTTTGTTAGACAAACGGCTGCGTTCGTAATGTGACAAATAGCGCCATCTGTTGGGCGAGTCTCCTACTCGCCAGAGCTTAACGGCCGATCTCTGCTTTTACGCGAACCACGACCGCGCAAGCCACCTGGCGGCGTCTGTGAGGACCGTGAAAGTGGATCGCCTTCTAGATCGACGCGAAGTGATCTCCAACATCCACACCGAAAAAAACCCTACAGTAAATTGTTACAGAGTGTACTTTTTACTACTCTATAACAATTTCAGGGTTCGTAATTGTTTGACGTACATGTTACTTGCGTTCGGAAATAAAACTAAGTAATACTTCTTAAACATTAAAAGTGTGCTTTTCTTCCCGAGCTCAAAACTTTGAAAATGAGAGTTGTAATTCTCATGGTTCACTGCTTGTTTATTTTATTTGGTTATCAAAAATTGCTCAAAATTGGCAGAGTAGATATTTTTCATTATAAATGCTACCCCGTATTCCTAGGGTCTCTTATAATAATTATAATGGTCTCAAAAAACGTGGTTAGAAATAAGTCGGTTGTCATCGAGCGTCACTACATGACTCTGTAATAATTTAGGCGTTCTTAAAATAAAGTTTCACAGTATTATAGAGTAAAATTTCATCTGTCAATCTACATTTCATTACTATTTATGGTGATACATTTCCAAGTGATTTACAAACGCACCCCAGTGCGTCTTAAAGATGTCTTTATACTACGTTCGTAAGGTTTTTAGTGCGGCATTAAAGACATAAAAAACAGACGAATTATTAAAAAAGTGCTTTGATAAAAAAAAATGTTTTTGAATATACTTGTAATAACTTTTCCGACCGATATTTTGTTGTGAGTTTACGTTATATAATATATATAGTTAGAAACGTTTTTTTTATAGATTCGACTGTTGGTTTTTAATATCATAAAATAAATTTACAATGTCAAATGTGGTTTTCATTTGGAGAGGAAGATGCATCCAGGGCAAACAAAAAGTTCCCGACAGTTCCCCCATCTCAGAAAATACTGACAAAGACACAAGTAACTTGTGTCTTTATAGATAGATAAGCAGTGACCTAAATCGCTGCTAAATCTACCGGCGACTTTAAGGTCTCTGTCGCCGGTATCCCGGCGACTTGCAAGTCGCTGCTAAGATCATCTCTACACAAGTTTAAGCAATCTAATGATGACCCTGACCATGACATTCGAGTTCATTTCAAGGCCTACACTTACCTGTTAAGAACAATTTTTTCTAATGTTGACAAATGCCCGGTGAGAACACGATGGCCAATCTACCACGGCAAACAAGTGGAAAATCACAGGTAGGCAGGAACGTTTCCCGCGTACGCTACGCCTTATGCCTTAAAAAACACTGAACACTGAAGCAAATGACAATTGGCATTGACAGATGCCTGAGCTAGAGATGTTGCAGAGGTAAGTATAGAGATGTGTTTCCTTTAGCCGACGCATCGTCATCTGTTCACTAATATTTCTAACTTTTTAAGGAGAAGAATTCTAAAAATTTCAACCACGTCTTCTGAAGGACGTAAGGAGACGTCTTAAAGATGTTTGGTTTCTGTCAAGTTAGGATATTCTTAAAAACATCGCACTAATGACATCTTAAAGACGTCTTTGCGATCTGAGGTGTTTAGACATTATAAGTGCATAAACTGGACGTTCTGTGCTATCCTGCTGATAACAGTGGGTGGATTTTTACGTCAAATTCAAGAAATCAAGAAATGAACGTTTATTCACTTGAACAACTGTAACTAAATTATACATATAAAATTAATTTTTATATACACTATAAGTTTTGAAGTTCCTCGATCTTCATATTATCTAGCTTCTCAGCATTCTCGTGTATTATCTTGTTCATATTGACCTGGTCTAAGGCTTCTTGGATTTTCATCTTTATAGGCGTTTCCAAGGCATCCATGATTTGGTATCGCAAAAGATTAGGCAGGACATTCACTCCGAATTCTATCGCGTAATCTACAGTTCCAAGTCCGTCGAACCTTATTTGGATATTTCCCAACTCTACTTGTATGTCGTCTAGAGATGGGGGTACATCTTCGGCAAGGCTTTGGCTTATGTTGATTTGTGACTGAAATTGTGCAGAACATGGTATTGTCCCATAAAAAAAACATATATAAATGCGGAACACAATAACTTTTTCACGAATTCAACGAAATTTTGACAGCTTAGTGGTTACTAAACAATTAAAAAAAATTGCTAAATGTTTACGAACTTCAATATTCTGTGAACTCTGCCTTAAGGATAGCGTATTCCTTTCAATGTCAATGCCAGATGTTTTTGAATGACGCTATATTCACAATAAGCAATTTTAAGTGATGAACCTTGGTTATGCCCTTTATTATTCTGTCATTTGCCCTTCTGACACAGAACACACACCTCAGAACAGGATTGCAGCTATTGTTTTGTGGTCCCACGTCAACGAGAATAAATATATTCAAATATAAGTAAATACTTCACTCTGATATTAACAACTTAACTAATTATTTTTTAAATTCTGCACAAAAAAAACAATGCATGACTCCATAGAAACGCCTATTATCATCTGATATCGATTTTTTCACTGATAATTTTTTACGTTAAATTATAAGTCACAGACGACCCAAAACAAACACAAAAGGCAAAAAGAAATAGGAAAGAGTTAAGTTATATTTATGGGCTGACATTTGACATCAAAACAGTAAAAGTGACGTCATCATTTGACAGCTATTACAAACCGCGTCGCTTAAAATGGCTCGATGACTCAACATCCTTTTAGAGCTCCGACACGCTTTTTGTGCTATGTGCATGATTTTTTGCGCTCCGCGTATACTATTATTCTTACCCTGATATAATCAACGCTGAAAGCTACCGATCCAGATCTAGTGACAATGCCGGCCACCAGAGAGATCTCCCAATTGCTAGTGCCTTTGATGGTTCCCGTACCAACTTCTAAAAGGGCACGGATCGTTCTGTTTCTAAATTCAAACTTGACATCTTTCGTTCTGTGGAAGGAGCCTAGCCCATACAGCCACGTATGAGTAAGGAAGATGTCGAAGACGCCTACGCTGTTGAAGAAATACTTATAAGTTTAAGACTCATTCAAGTGCTAACGAAATTTGACAAAAATCTAAACTTAGCTACAAAACAAGTTGCATGTTATTGCAATGTTGGTTGTCTGCCCACAAACAGTATGTCAACCAGTGTCACATCTCAAGCTTAAGGGACACTCACTGTCATTGACTGTCAACCTGTCACTTTGATGTTCCAGATTTTCGGAATTTGTAGTAATGAATATAACCTATAAATACGTAATCGAATGTTATGAGAAATAAACCCTAATTCACGAGTATCTATCATGTTTTGACGTCTATTGAGGTGAATAGCTGATTAGCAAGTGACATATTTGTAAATCTTACTTGTAGGGTGTGTTTTTTTTGTATGAAAATAACTTTTTCTATATAAAAGAATTGCTCGCAAGTAGAAAATGAACCTTTAGCGTACAAAAAAATGAAACAAAATACGGCTCTGTCTACCAGGCGTTGACGGATCCGTCAGAGTTATGTCATTTGTCATTATGGGGAGTTTTGAAATGTTACTAGACAATCAGCTGTTATTCTATCGTAATGGATGGTCGTGAAAAAGTAAATATATTTATGTTTTCAATGGAATTTGGTGAACATTGTCCAACGTAGATCTATAGCTTCCTTTCCGCTCCAGTAAAGTTGTTTTTTCTTCTGCTTCAGCTGTACCCACCTACCCACCAACCCACCATTGAATTACCCCGTCTCTATGCACATCATACGAGGTGTGACCCGAAAATAACGGAAAAGAAAATGATAAAATACAGTTTCAATACATATACCAAAATACACCATTCTGCATACTACAAAGCATGCATATTCCCTTAAAAATTTTAAACGTTAGGAAAACAAACGTCGTAGAGGAATAATCCTCTTTTATCCACCATAAAAGTGCAACCATACGTTTAACAAACCTCGACAAGCTACCACGAATCCAAAACCGTGGGTAAATATGACCTTTCAGACATCTGTTCGTGGATAAGAGAAGATGATGTACCTATTGTTGTAGTCCGGGATCTTATAAGGGTCCATGCCCATTCCTCTGACTTTTTTCCTGATTTCGTGCATGACATCGTCCAGAGGCGATATCGAGTTCGGGAACGTTTTTGGAATTTTGCGCACTTCTTTGTTGACATCATTTCTTATGTTTGTGTTAGCCTCGGCAAGCACAAATGGCTTGATGGAGTCGAAAACGATGGTTCCGACTGAGTTCATCATACCTGAAATCATATTCTTGCTCGTACAAAAAAAGTAATTCAAACACGCTCATAGTCTTAATCTCCAGATTTTGTAATATTTTTTTAGTATCTTGAAACTGAATTAGCCTTAGCCAATTGTATATACGTTTGATTCGCGCAAAAATACACGATAAATTAACTGTCGCCATTTTGAACAAAATATTACAGATGCCTTAAAATAGCGATCACATGAAAGCGCTAGATGAGAGAAACGCAATAAACAAAGTGACGTCATGCTAAGTCCAATGGGTATCAAATTAAAGGGCTTGATGACTGAAACACAATAAGCAAAGTGACGTCAATATAACGGCCGCCGCAAAATGGCGATTTAAAATTTTCATGGCAACCGCTAAAATATGGGTAGGTATCGAATGAAATGGCTTGATGAAAGAAATACGATAAAAAGTAACGTAAATTCCATATGATGAATGCAAATTATCGACTTATTATACGATTTGTATCTATCGCAATTTAATAAAACATATAAAGGGAGAAGTAAGTGGACATCAAACAAATGTCGAAAATTTGGCTTTTTGAGTAAAATGCGTCTTGTGTTTTAAAATTCAAAGAGTTAGACTAGGAGCATGTCAAAAAATGTGAACAATTCAATATATAGGTCAAAATAATACTTCTTTGCCTTGGAACATGTTAGCAAAAGATATCCAAGGCTTCGAAAAATGTATATTTCAGGGATGAAAAATGTAAATAATTTTATTGATATGTAATACTTGCTTCTTTACCTTGGAACATGTTGGCAAAGAATCCTAGGTTTTGAAAATCCATAGCGATATCTTTGAAGCGTATATCCATATCAATTTCTTGGGCTTCCAATGAACCATTTCTTATGACTTCTAGCCTTGCTATAGCTACGATGTCCACCTAAAAATCACTATGCCGTTAATAATTCTCATAGTAGAGATACGTGAATTATTATTTTTTAAACTTATAGTCGCAGGATCTACAGGGTGGCGCATCGAAAACGAAACACACGCATTTACTGGCGGGGGTGACACCAACCCTCAAATCTTAAATGGAAAGGGAAGTCGAGTGATACCTCATTTTAATTTTTTTTCCAAAAAAAAACTGAGCTGCCAGTAAATGCGACTGTGGTAAAACACTTGAAAACTTCATCTCTGACTCTCTGCACCCTGGAACTACTAAATTTTTCAAATATTACTAGATAATCAGCTGTTATGCAAGCATCTTGATTCAAAACAAGACCTTATATTATGTCATCATGCGTATAAAACAATAAAGAAGACATACGTCGGTTAGCTTGACAGTATAAGGCCCAGCAGACCTAGACAGCCAGGTACTTAACGTATAATTTCCCCTAACATCCAGCTTATCAATCACCAACTCCGCTTCGACTTTCAACGCGTTTACATCAACACTGATGTGATCAATCTTGAACCTCTTCAAACCGTACATCTTCACGTTTTTGAAATTCATCCTGCCCACTGAGAAGGAGTGCGAGAATTCGGGAATGTCCATCGGGTCTGGGATGGGGGCGCCGGGAAGTCCGACTGGGTCCTCTTGTTTGTAGTGCTCCAAGATGGACATGATGTTCTCGCTGAGTTTCTTTTGGCCTTGAAGGGTGGGGTTTTGAGCTTCGGCTTGGGGTGGGGCGACATCTGGAACAAAGAATACAGTAGGAAAACCACTTCATCGAGAAAACAAGCAACATCGTGCATCTGCGTTTAGGGGCCGTTCAAGTATTACGTAAGCAGATTTATTACAATTATTTACCCCCCCATCCCCCTTGTCAGCAAAAGTAAGCAAAGCTCTTACCCCTCCCCCCATGCTTACGTAAACATTTGTCAATTTGTACTTTCGTACTTGTATGAGATTTTTTAAAACTTTCAAACAATTTTTGGTATAACTTGGATTTGTCTATGTGAAACGACATCTTATTTGAACAATAAACTTTGGGTAATGGTATCAATGGTAACACAAATGTTAACTTGCTTTACTATGCTTACAATACGTCTACTCGCTATAGTATCCAAACGAAACAATACACTGGTAGAGGAAATTTAGACAAGTGAACACCGCGCGGTAATTCCCCTACTCGGTTCTAAAGCGAGTAGGGGAATTACCGCGCGCTGTTCACTAAACGTATGCATTATTTGCGGGAATCCCCGAAAATGCGTTTCGTTTTCAAGCAAAGACAATGTGAGGGTTGCCATTCGTGTAAAAAAGTAAATAACTACCGATGACTCCCCTACCCCCCGTGTCATCCAAAATAAGCATAGCAAAGAACTCCCCGCCCCCCGATAGTGCTCACGTAATACTTGAACGGCCCCTTAGGAGGTACACATAGTGGACCGAGGATCTTTGCAAGGTGGTTAAGAAGAAAATATTCATGATCTATGGTAGATGTATGTACATGGGTTGTCCGAGTTTTTAAAGGCAATGAAGGCTTACGAAATTATTGACAAAACCATGTCAGAAGCAGATTTACAACAGTTCCGCCAACATTTATGGTATTTGACAGATGTGATCTCTATCTTATATCTGTTTGACGACGACGTAAATAAGGAAACTAAAATAAAAATGGTTTCTAACTTAGCAAAAGAAAGTCCATCAGCCTGCGGTAAACGCTACATCCTATCGAAAGGATAACTTTATGGTAAGTGACTAATAAATTTTCCTTCGTCTTATTTCATTGCTCAGATAGAGGTTAGTTGCCAAAATGCTGATGGGTTGCCAAAAAGCACAAAACGTCTGTCCATGGTTGTCGAATTGAGAACTATAGTCAACGCCAAACAAAGTGGCGTGCACGTCATCACGATAAAAATTCCCCGACCTAATGCCTAGGTTTCTATCACAAACAATTGCTCTATTGCAGTTTCATATTAATGTGATATATAAATTGTAAAATGGTCATTACTCTCTTATTATGGTTAATAGTCATATAAACATTGTTATTAAAATATCACATAAGTTGCTTTCTGATAAATTTAGACGCATTATGCGAAATAAAATGTTTTGCAAACGCTCCAATCACTTATCGATATGTAAACGCACTAAACCGATTTCGCAGCGTTGACACATTGTCACCTTGAAACTTATTTAAACTGGGAACTGACATTTGTATTAATTTTGACACTGAATCAATTTGTGGCATTTCAAATCTTTATAAATCCTTTGGCCCCGCATACTGTAAATCAACAACTGTTTGTTTCAAAACAAAATTATTCATTTTACGAGTAGATAAAGGCAATTTTGGTATATAAAGATGCCCAAACAGTTAAATAGTCGGTGTAAGGAACTCGTGGCCTCGTTAATGCACCACTTTGAGCAAGAAAGGGACAACAACGGGCCTTTGTTGCCTTTAAATGCTGTTCAAGAGGTAGGTTACTAATAATTATATGTAATGTATATTAATAATAGTGAAATTTTATTTCATTTTTTGTAGCGTGTTGCTGCTGCTTTAAAAATTAGTTTAAGGACAGTTAGTCGTATTTCCGAGGGTGTGAAAAGTGATGCAAATTTAGAATCGCCCAAGAAAAAGCGGAGTTATATTAAACGTGTAACCAACACAGCGACATTGGATACAAGTGCCATTCGAGAAGTGATCTATAATATGTATCACAAAAGTAAGATCTTATTATAATAACTTATCAGAAATTTGCATTAATTTGTTAACTAAATTATAATGTCATATTACACATGGTTTCAGAAGAACAAATTACGATACAAACTTTATGGTCTCGATTAAGAGATAGGGCATTATTTGATGGTAGTGCCACGTCTTTAAGGCGGTTGCTTAGAGATCTTGGATTTAAGTGGCTTAAGGACAATCCGCGACGAGGGCTCATGGAACTACCAAGTATAGCTTTGAAAAGGGTGGAATTTCTAAGGCAATACAATCAAGCCAAGGTTGAGGCCTTATACCAGTTTGTCTTCCTCGATGAAACTTGGATATTTCAAAATGGGACCATAGGTCGCTCTTGGCAAAATGGAAACCAAAAAAGCGTGAAAGCTATTAAAACAGATGGTAAAAGGTATGTACTTTTACACAATTTGCACTATAAAATTTAAAACTAATATATTTTAGATACATTATATTACATGCTGGAAATGAAAATGGGTTTATTGAGGGTAGTGAAGCGATATTTTCTTCGAAAACAAAATTGAGCGATTACCATGGAGAGATGAACCAGGACAATTTTTTGAAATGGTTTCAACATCAGTTATTAGAAAAATTGGAGAGTCCATCTATGATTATACTGGATAACGCCCCTTATCACAGCATGATATTGAACAAAGTGCCCAACAATGCATGGACAAAAAAAATATCCAAGACTGGTTGACAAATCAAAACATACCATTTTTAAACACAATGTTTAAAACAGAGCTATTGAGTATTGTTGCTCGGTACATAATGCTTCTTAATTATATATATTTTGGTCGACAGTTTATATTTATTTTGTTTATTCCTATTCTTAAAATAACTGCTTTTTTAGAAACAAACCACCTAAAATATACGTGATTGATGAATTGGCGGAACAACATGGGCACAAAGTTCTTCGTCTGCCTCCTTACCATTGTATATTTAACCCTATTGAGTTAATTTGGGGCATAGCAAAAGGTTACTATAACAGACATATTGGTAGAGATGGTAACAGTGAAAAAGACTGTTTGGATATGTGGAACGAGGCTCTACAAACGGTTACCCCAGACATGTGGAAAAATAGTGTTCGACATACTGAGCAAGAAATTTTTAAATGGTATGAAAGAGAACGAATTTTTGATCGACCAGACATCGAACCTTTAATAATCAACTTTGAGAGTGATGAAGATTCAGATTCAGACAGCGCTGAAGAAAGAAACTCCGACTAACTTTATTGTACAGAAAAAGCTTACACCAGTAGCTTACCTAATTTTAGAATGCATTTTTCTGTATGAATTCTGTAAAATAAATACCATGCATAAAATTTGGAGGACCCCATTTGGATTTTTATTCAGTACCTTTAAGCTATCAATTAAATATGGTAGTTTCATAGTGTCATCTGATCAATAATTGTCATACTTAATGATTATGCAAGTACAGATCTATAATTTTATTATACTATTATTTTTGTTCTCATTTGAGGTTAATATTGCTTATAAACCTAGATATGTAAATAATAAATTTTATTATTTTACAAAAAGTTTGGCAACAATGTAAATTTTTCAACACACCCACCTTGATGACGTGCACGCCACTTTGTTTGGCGTTGACTATAGGTTTTGGAATCCATACATGGTTCCCCGATCGCAATAATATTTATTATAGAAAAATGAAAAAAAAATAGACGACATGCGTATCTCAATACGAACAAAAATTTGTTTGCCCTTATATAGCTTCATTAAATTTTTCATTAAGTTGTTAGATACGATACCAAGGCACTGCTCCGAGAGAAATCCATGTTCAGGATAATCCAACCTACACCCTGAATCAAGTTATATATATCCTAATTCTGTGCAAAAAGTCAACACTTTCGGGCACAATACACAATTACCTTCTTCACAACACACTAAACCAAACAAAAGCACAAACACGAGCGTCCTTTTGATCATTTTTAACCGTTTAAAAGCTTTAGTACAACGTTAATCTCGCAGCATTGAAAGCGGATACTGCTGATTGAGCATTCATAATTTCGTATCAGATCTAGCCGGCTGATGTCAAAGTTCGTGATACATAGCGAAAGCAAAGCAGAAGAGATAATGGGTAATGACGATTTAATTTCAGTTTTATCAGTACCTTAAAACTCTTCGGTTTGTTTTGCTTCTAATAATTTGAATCATAGATAGTTGTGTAGATCGTTACGAGTATAATGATTACGTGATGGATTAAATACATTGCTATAATAACGAATTTATTCATCCTGAAGATTTAAAAAGACATTAATTATTAATAATAATAATACGAGTATATTGGATACAAAACACATTAGAGAAATTACTTCTAAATCACAGGATAAATGTGTCACAATTTAGACAAAAGTGGAATACAAAGTGTAATTACGAATTTTGTGCTAAAGATAACGGATGTTACAACAACTAAATTGCTTATAGATATTCTTGCAATTTTATAAAAAAATATTAATCAAAAAGGTACTATTTTGCCAGTACTCGGACAGAAGTATTGGCCAGTTTAGACAGAACCGTATTTAAAAATTTGTGATAGATAGAAATTTCAAATCAGCTGTCATTAAGACTTTGAGGAAAAGAAATTCAATATAGATATTTTTAATGATAAATACAAATTAGATCAAAATGAACAAGAAACTAATTTTTTCATTTCGTCTGGCCCTGCACTGCCGACTTTGACCTAACATACTGTTAACATATTTCAAGCAATTTCCCAACATTTCTCACAGCTTCAACTGTCTCCTTCAGTCTGCCTTTATACAGGGTGCTTTCAAAGTTGAGTAATTTATTTTAACAGCTTGTACAGTCTGAGTACGAGATTCTTGGCAGTGACTCATCTATGCTGCTCAAAAACCGCAGTTGTCAGGTTTCTATAATGAATTTACCTATCCAGTTCAAAAAACTATATAATCTAAAGCTAGTTAGAACTCAGAATCGTATATCCAGATGGACAAACAGTAGTAGGACTATGAATATGGCACAATACAGGGTGTCCGCAAAGTTGGGGTTTTCCTTTTCAGAAACAACTACCCTTGAAATAACAAAGGTAATGTGTAGTGAAACGAGGGCGACCAAGTAAAAAAAAATAAAGGAAAAAGTACTCACTCTCCAGTTGACGAGAAGGGCTAAGTACGTCTCTGCCCGAAATCATACCGCTCCAACAGAAAATGAAATCAGCTGATGCGCTACCGAGCAGACGCAGAAACCACATTGATTGTCTTACACTTAATGGCACATCTTCTAACAAGGAAGGCAAAATGTTGCGTAAAAAGTCTAGGTATTGCATCCCGTCCAATCGATTTGGGAGAATAAATGGTCTAATGAGCATATCGTTCACCATGCCAGCCCAAACATTCACCGAAAATGTTTGTTGAAAATGTGCCCGACGGACAGCGTGCGGATTTTCTACTGACCAAACATGAGTGTTGCGAAAGTTATTCACCCCATTACGCGTGAACGTAGATTCGTCTGTCACCAATATGCACTTCAAAAAGTCCGGATTATTGTCATGTTGATGCAACAACCACTCACAAAACCGCACTCTTGCTGGAAAATCGTCAGGTTGAAGGGCTTGTACACGTTGGACGCGAAACGGATACAGCCCCTCTTCACGCAGCGTTTACCACACTTTAGTTTTTGATACTTGCACTTCTCTAGCCACGTCTCTAGTGCTTGTTGAGGGATTCTCGTCTACGCGATTACCTCTACACGCGTGACCGTAACCGTCGGTTGAAGGTTGCATACTGACCTGACACACTGACCCCGACCCAGTTCTGTCGTCGGGTTGAGCCAGTGACCTTGTACCAGTCGGTGATGTCGCGGCTACAGGACGGTATTCAGATATTTTTGATGTTGCAGAGCCCTTTATCTCGGTTCCCTTAAGACATTGGTGTATATGGTACTAAGAAAAATTGTTTATGTTTTCAAGATCTACACGTCCTGTAAAGGAAAACCCCAACTTTGCGGACACCCTGTATAAACTTTCCACTCTGACTGACTATAGACAAGGAAATCGTAAAACGTCACTTTGCTAGTTTGGTAACATGGAATTGCCGACTAACATATAATAACAATACTTTATAATAAAGTTTGATAGTTTTTATGTTTAAAGAGACAAACGCCATACACCCCTATGGCTTTTTTACGATTTCTCCCATAGATACGGTAATGGCGACAATTTCTACACGAACTCTAAACAACCTAATTACATATACATGCATGGATATAATGGAGGTTTTTGAGCAAAACAACTTTGATTGTACACTCAATTTGATTCCATTTAAAACTTATACAAGTCACGAATGTTTTCGATATAGACTTCTAGAATTTCATGACGTGGAAGCTTCAATCTATATGTAGTTTTTCATCCAGTCTATCCACAACTACTTGTCAACACCACATGAATAGTAATCTGGATCTTTTCAATGCTAAAAGCTACACAAAGTATACCAGGTACATCACTTTTAAGAATTGCTAAAACAATTGAAGCCTTGGGAAGCCTTGCATTTGACTTATCTACTTCGAAGTTGAGTCATTTATTTTAACAGTGAGTAGATCTGATCAAAAGAAATGTTTTTTTCCTTTACCATTTTTCTGCTAAAATTAAAGTAACAAAGTTATAGACCTTTGGAAGTTTGAGTACCGCCCTGTCTCAATAATAATATTATGTGCTCGTGTTTGGCAACAACGGATATAATCCGCCTTATCGGTTCATCGCATCGGAAACAAAAAAGCGAAAGAATGTGGAACGATGTTTTTACAATTATTTTATTCAGTTGTATACAGTCAGTGTCAGGCGGTAACGCGTGAGTGAATAGTGGTGTCTGTTGCGTGGCTCAAACGAAATCAAAAATGGCACATGTTTACGAAAATGCTGAACTTGTGGACATGATTCTTATTTACGCGGCATCACGGATTTATGCGGATCGGTTTCCCAATCGAGTGCAACCAACCCCTCGTGCCTTTGTTAATGTAGTACAAAGGGCTCGTGAATCAGGTGACTTAAGACCTCACAGGGGAGGGCATGCCGGTGCTCCAAGACCGCACGATCAAATACAGGTCCGCACTGAAATACTTGTCGGGAGGATACTTTATAAAACAAGGTAACATCTTTTTTTAATTTTTTTTTTTATTTTTACACACATATTTTGGTTTATCTTCCTTCTACAATCATTATCTGAAAATTAATGACTCAGCTTCAAAGTCACCCTGTATATTTGTAAATGTAACCACTGAAACTTATGTTGTCCTATGTCCTATGTATTTATTATTGTGAAAGACAAATTAACAAGCTACTGTAAAAGTGAATCTACCCTATCTGTGGCATAATTTGGATTTCAAAAAAATCCAACCACAAGAAAAAGTACTTCTAACCTTATTAGACAAAGTACTGTAGAAGACAAATATAATAATATAGCTATCACGTGTGACTTAACCAAAGCATTAGTTGTGACAATTCACATATTATACTATTGAAAAAGATATGGCATAAAAATACCGAGCTAGCGCAATTTCGTTCGTATTTGTCAAATAGGAAGCAGTATATAAGCCCTGAAGACCTATTTGCAACGGGGTACCGCAAGGATCAATACTTGGCCCCCTGCTATTTCTAATATATATCAATGACCTGCCCTCGAGTATTGATATTGAGGTCCTGCTTCCTATTTGCATACGATACCACCTTCCTGTCTAGACGTGTCCAAAACGCGAGTGTGGATATCCCACATTGGTTATTTACATTTTAGACTGTCAAAACAACCATTTAGTTTTAGGCAGCCACTTACCATACACCACTTTAAGACACACTGAATATTTTGAAGAACCATTTTTCTTGTTGATAGGTATAACAATGCTTGGCCCAGAACTAGTAGACTTTCGAAATTATTCTCGCAACAAGGGTTATTTACATTTTAGACTGTCAAAACAACCATTTAGTTTTAGGCAGCCACTTACCATACACCACTTTAAGACGCACTGAATATTTTGAAGAAACATTATTCTTGTTGATAGGTATAACAATGCTTGGCCCAGAACTAGTAGACTTTCGAAATTATTCTCGCAACAAGTCAAGATTTCCCGCGAGACGTTTAAAGTAATCCAACCGATTCTGATTGTTTCAAGACTTCTCGGACTATTTCCTGTAACATTTAAGGATTGCGGCTATTTTTTTGTTCTCCAGTGGTCCCACTTCTATGCAGTCTACAGTATCGTTGGTCCCGGAATTTTTGGTAAGCTCAATTTTCGATTCTGTAGATATCAATCTTTCAATTGATTATAATTTAAGCATTGAATACGCTATATTCAAAGCTAAATCTTAGAAAACTCACAAAGTAGTTTTTTTCAAATGTACATGGGCAACTACACAGCGTCAGCCACGCGATACGATTACGTGTGGTTCTCGCAATAGTTGGCGACTGACTTATAGTCGCTGTTTAGGCTTTTTGTCGACAGCGATATTTTCCTTGGCGTAAGAAACCGAGCAGCAATTGACATAACTACCTGAACCCGGCGTTCGGGCTCCCAAAGTCCCATAACAACCCTAGGAACTGGAGGCGTCGTCCCACCTCTGGATACTCGCTAACAATAAATAGTAAAGTCCTCAGCCATAAATTAAAATATAAGGGTTAAAAAGCACAGTATCTTCAAAACATGGCTTAAAATACTCATGATCATGAATAAAAAAGTATCATGGTTAGAAATCCGTGTAGTACAGTAGAACGAAGGAAATACTCAGGTAACCAAAACACTACAACCAATAGCATAATAACATTGTAGTTAGGTTTATACCGCGCACTACTTGATTTTAGAAGCGACCGTTATACCCGTTTACATTGTGTATATTTAAGAAAATAATAAGTAAAAAGAGAAGGACAAAGAACTAACATACCTCAATCCTCTGAAGACCTCAATCATTAACTCTACGTTGCTTATTTTGCGAATTTTTAACCAAACATTAACTGATATCGCAACAATATTATACTAAGTGACATATAAATCCAAACACCCAGTTTAAATGGTTTTATTTTAATAAAATTTTGTATAAGTACTTAATGAAGCATAATAAGTAAATGATAAAAATTTCAAAATGATTGCACTGCTTTAAAGCCCTTTGACCTTTAATAATGGGTGGATGCACCCTGATGTGCTACGCATTCTCCAACGCGCCTAGGCATGCTTCTGATCAGGTGGCCAATGTCCTCCTGTGGTATCTCATTCCAGGCAACCACCAACTCCTCTCGAAGTGCTTCTAGAGTCTGAGGAGGACGTTGCAAATTGAGCAATCTCCTACCCATCATATCCCACACGTGCTCAATTGGGGATAAGTCGGGAGATCCTGGTGGCCATGGTAACAATGTGACATCATTATGTTGAAAGAAGTCTATTGTGACTCTTGCAACATGTGGTCGGGCATTATCTTGTTGGAAAGTTGGAACTGCCAGGGTGTCAAGATAGGGTAAAAGATGGGGTTCTAGAACTTCGTGGATATAACGCTGCGCGTTCATGTTACCTCTGATGAAGATTAAATGTGACCTGGAACCATAAGCTATAGCACCCCAAACCATAACTCCAACAGTGTGATGAACATGTCTTTCAACAAAAAACTGTGGATTCCTCCTTTCACCACGTCGCCTTCTAACCCTGGCACGACCATCGTGCATGCCTAAACAAAATCGAGACTCGTCACTAAAGACAATACTGTTCCATTCCTGATCCCAGAATGACCGTTGTCTGCACCACTCAAGGCGATTACGTCGGTGTTCTCGAGTTAAAGGGAGGACCCAGTGTGGCCGGTATGAAAACAAGCCAAAACTTCTCATTCGTCGGTAAACACTTCGCATGCCAATAGGTCTTCCGTGTTCTGCAAACCATTCATTTGCAATGGACCTGGTAGTGGAGAAACGGTCCCTTAAGGCCAATAATCTTAGGCGGCGATCTTCACGGTCTGTTGTTCTACGGCGGCGTCCAGTGCCCCTTGCTCTTTGCGTATGGCCTTCTCGAAGCCATGCCTGACAACACCTAACCACAGTGTCTACACTTCTTTGCACTCTAACTGCAATTGCCCGAAAAGAAAGTCCAGCTACCCGAAGTCCCACTATACGTCCCCTATCAAACTCACTAAGTTGACGAAATCGTACAGGTCTCCGTACTCTACGCATCGTAACCGATCGTAAAGGATGTCAAGAACCAAAATCCGCCAACGTTGATCCTTTACCGCGGCTTTTAGAGCGTTAGTGAATTAAAAAAAAAGCAGTATAAAAACCGGAATGTCCAACTGATAAGGCTGAAAATTTTTCCCTTGTTATTTACAGTAAGATAAATACATTCACCAACTGTTATTAAAATAAAACCATTTAAACTGGGTGTTCGGATTTATATGTCACTTAGTATATTTAGAACTGAAGATTTCGTAGTCAATGCTCCTTACAATGTCTGTACGCACCTGCTAGCTTGTGGAGGTGCGGGGAGAGAGGAGGTGGAGTCTAGCGGCTCAAGTCGCTGCACTTATAGCTCAGTCAAATTAAGTAAATTTGTTGCTATACTCGTATACGAACAATGCGATTTATTTTATATTCAGTTATATGGAACTATTTGTACCTTTTACATTGCATATTCCAGAAATACATAATTTATACAGATGAACCAGCTTCCAGCATTATTTATTAGCATATAATGACTATACTATACGCGCGCCGATACATACCATAAAAAAGCATTGAAAATGTAGAAAAGACACTATAAGTCTCTCTCCAGCTTCTCAATGTAATAATATTCATAAAAAATCAGCGTATTTTTAGAGTTCCATTGCCTGTGATTTGGATACAATTCTGAGGCGCGGATCCAGGGGGTGCAACGGTGTCACTCCCCCAGGGTTCTTTGTTTGAAAACAGGCTAAAATAAACGTGCATTCTATTCTTACACTGCTGTTCATCATATCCCTTCTTAATTACTTTATAATTGACAATACCTCCTGAAAGAACGAAACCCACACTACCCCCCCTCTCAAGACATGATCCTGGATCCGTGTCTGAGAATACTTTTGTAGATTTTGACGGGTGAGATCAAAATAGGTGACCGAAGCTTGTCTTTCACTTTTCAGCTATAATCACCCTATCAGTTGTCTTCAAACACGAGGATCAAAGAGACTCAAATGAATCTGATAACAAGAGAGTATTTTTGACGGCTTTTGATACGTGTTGCATTACGATGATCGTATTGTTTTGTGTGCTTTCGAACCCATTCAAAATAAGGTCTATTTGGAAAATATGCGCAAATGATAAAGAGGTATGTATCCACGTTGATCTCATAGGGGAAACTGGACCCCTTCACTAGAGCGCACCCATTACCAAGTGTAAATAGTAGATTAGGAGATGGTGGAGAGTTCGCAAGTTGTTTGATCATCCAGCATTTTGTTTTATCGAAGTGGATATTACTGTATATTTGCAAGCACTTATACGTGTATATTGTCTAAAATGATTTTGGTTTTAGTCGCCCAAACTGGCCCCCTTAGGTACATAAATCCTGTAGTCTTTTGAATTTTCACAAATAAGGTACAATTTTGGGTATTTTCCTCTAGCTAGACCACTCAGTCGGAGGGTCATTTTTATAATAGTGCCTAAAGTCTGGTATCTTAAGCTTACCTTTCAATTTATTGATCAAACGATCAACCAGCTCGAACGACTGAGGTAGACCTAACAGTAACATTTCCAAATACTCACTGAGAAAAAAATGTTCAGAATAACCAGAAGCAAATGACTAATTGGTACATAGACGGCTGTGACACTACTTTGTCATTTGTTCTTTAATTGTGGAGAGAATTAACAAAACAAAGCCTAATACGTATTTAAATGGTGGATTCAGATAGTGCATATGATGACTAAAGCAGTTCTAGTTGTGATAAATAATAAAATGGCTTAGCTTGCTATTGTCGCTATTTTTACTAGGTTACTGGGATTGGGTGAAGAAACTCTTTACAATGTTTTCTACGATATCTCAACACGTCAAAGCGGGGAAACAAATGAAAGAAAGGGTTCGAATCCCAAGCATTTGTGGACCTATATAGATAATGACATACTGATAAACTTGAGAACACTGCACCTTACAAAACCGAGCATTAATTAACATAAATACCTGAACCCGGCAATCGGGCTCTGAAAGTCCCACAACAACCCCCAGAAACTGGAAGCGTCCCATCTGCAAGTATTCAATAACGATAAATAGTAAAGTTGTAAGCCATTGATTATGACATGAAGGTAAAAAGCACATCCTCTTTATAAACATGGCTTAAGACATTCTTGATCATGAATATAAAAGTATTATAGTAAGAAATCCATGCAGAACAAAGGAAATACTCAGTGAATGCTCACCTTTCAGATAACCTTAACACTACAACCAATAGCCTAGCAACACTGTAATTAGGCTCACAACGCGCAGTACTTGATCTTAAAAGCGACTGTTATACCCATTTGCGTGTAAATGACGCCAGTGGAAACTAGCCCTCGGAACAAGCACCCAAAGGAACATTAACCAGACTTGTAAACCTTCTAGAATTCTCACACAAATGTGGTTGAAATATTTCGTATGCTTACAAGTGTAATCACGAAAATCAGACATGAAAAACCACGTCCCTCATCTACTTCTGTCCGCTAATCCTTGACCCGTGTATAACGTAGAAAGTTGCCCTAGAATTTTGATTAAATTTTCACATAAGGCTTGTACTATGATACGGACAAAAGAGCTCACTTGCATGTGAAACAGAACAAATGACGTTATTGACAATAAAATAGTTACCAAATGTTCATTTTACAGGTCGAAAAGGTCATCCACATCAAAGAGAATAAGAAATACAAAAGATACTCGGTAATATCCATCCTAATAATGTTTGTCGGCTTCATACTTTTTTATTCCTTCGACATAGTAACGTGGCATATAAGTCTGAAGAAAATACACTCGTTTAAGAGCTTCTTCGAAACCTTCTTTTGCTTTTACGTGCTGAAGTTCATAATGCTTGGTCAGATACTTTTGTTTTGTCATACGATATACTTTGTGCAACTTAGACTTGTTGCACTGAGAGAGTATTTCATGGATGTTATCCAGGATAAGATTGTGGTAGTGACAGATTTCAAGAACGGGGAAATGAAGATATGTCCGTATGTGCTTGCTTCAAGGTCAAACCTTAACAAAGGTAAATACCATTTCGACGCATTATTAGGGCTGCCATCCGATCCACGTAATTCTCCTAGCTTAAGGATGTCCGGGGATTCCACTTTTTGTGCCAGGAAAATTTTGCGAAACGTAACACGCATTATCAGAAATATGTTTTTTGTACATCCCAGTACAACGACTCTCATCGCCCAGGAACAACGACCCGCATCACCCTATACAAGCATATGCGCGCCGCCCTGTACAACCAGCCAGACGACGGCATCGCAATGCGCGTGCGCAGGCAGACAATCATCCAGTTTGTACTAACTGGTGAACAGTGTTGTCAGCTCTACAGATTTTTTGGTAGATCTACCAATTTTAGTCCTATTCTATCTAAATACCAATTTTAATGCGAACTCTGCCGAAATTGCTCAAATACTTGAAAGGTATATTACTGACATAATTAAACGAACCACAAAAATAGAGGGGAAAAATCTCAATTTTGACCGGCGTCGGTAATAGATGATGGCAGCCATAAGCATAATTATTCTATTTAGGAACTTTTTTTGTTTTCGGTAATCTAGACACTGTTCACTAGGATATTTTAGATTCTTTTTTGAGCGCCAAAGAATACTTTAATCAATCGTAGCATGGATATCATCCTATATTACCAGCTCGTATTGTGTTTGTCTCGTTCTTTAGTGCAAGTTTGACCTATTTGAAAAATGTCTAACATGTATGTGAAATAACGTCAGCAGACTAATCAGTTACTTATTTTTAGCGAATAGCATACTAGAAATAGCAAAATCTCAGAAAAGGATATATGACATTTGTGAGATAATAAATAGTACACCTGGATTTGGTATTGTTGTAAGTTGTTTTTCGTTTTGGTTCAATGGCATACTTTGCATTATGGGGCTTCCCCGCAAGACTTTACAACGGAGCTTTCCAAGACATAGAAGGAATCATTATGTTAAGACTAATTGGGATCCTTAATGCATGATTTTTTCTTTGTTTCTGGAATTGGATTCAGGGAATATACTCACTCAATTTTGTATCAGTAATATCTAAATAAGAAGTGATAGATGTTTCAAAATCTTTGTAGATAATTATGTTCAGCGTTCTTCTGCATCTGACAGTCACTCCATATTTTTTGTTGACTGAAATCCAAAAAGGTGGATCTACCCTTTTCATTGTGCTGCAGTCTTGTTGGGTTTTTGTCCACTGTTTGAAATTCTACGCCATAATTGACCGATGTGACGTCTGCCAGAATGAAGTAAGTAGAAAAAATCAAACTAAAATGACTTAAAGGATAAGTTTAGCTATTATTAGGCTGTTGAATTTAGATCTTCTATATTTTTAGGCAGACAAAATACTGGATAGCGTGCAAAGAGTACTAGCCGACTATGCTGAGGAATCTCCACTGAAATCAGCGGTAATACTTTTTATAGCTACCAGTTTGATGCCGAGTTTGCAGGGTATTTGAATTCCAAAGTGATAACTCTCTCACGATACTAAACTGTGCTCTTTGCACATGTACGCAAAATATTATTAATAATGTAATGTAAAAACGTCGCTCTTGATATCATGAAAGCGTTCGATCAGCTGTGGCAAGCTTTTTCTACGGCTGCAATATATTCATCGTAACTGGTTCTTTTCTGCATCTCACAACGTCAACGCGGGAGATCCCCAGAGAGCGGTCTTGGCCCCGACACTGTTTCTATTACATATCAACGACCTCCTATCCTGTGCGATCAATCCAGCTTTGCTGGTGACAGCACTCTACATGCAGGAGATTACACGACAAGTTTGGTATCAAAACATAACGATTTGAAGTTGAAATTTGTCCTAAACTCAGTTAAATACCCTGCAAACTCCACATTAAACTGTGTAATCCTAAACGAAATATTGACTTTTTAGTTGATACGTTTTGCAATGCAACTTTCGCAATGTCAAATTCGCTTCAACACCAGTGGTCTATTTGCGCTAGACAGGTCGATATTCACATCGGTAAGTGCTAGTTCACTGTATTTGTTTCAATTAATAATAAACCTCTTATATTTTGCAGTTTGTAGCAGCTATCACTACGTACCTGGTCGTCCTAATACAAATGAACAATTATCAAAATTGACTATCTATTTAATAGACTGAATGTTGCCTCTATTTTCTCTCGTTTCAATTACATATACCCTGCCACCTCCAAGGATTACAAACAAATCTGATATTAAAAGCTTTGACAATTCCTTTCCACACTACGAGTATAAAAAAGTTTTTTAGCACGCCTATGTTGAGACCCCTTATAGCTATCTGATAATCCAATCGACACACTTGGCACCGTAGCATCAATCTACTAGTGGCATCACTCTCGCACTCATACGCAAGCCTTCGGCAGCTAAGCAGCCCCTCTCTATCTCCTGGAAGGACAAAATCTTTGCACCTCCCATCAAAATATTTTGTTTGCATTTTACAAGTTTATTTGACGTTTATGTTTGTCTGATTTTTTTGTACGCGTAAAAATGGTGATTCGCCACGATTTAGAAGGCTATGAAAAATTCAGCGAGTTCATGAAAACCTTTGAGAGCAAAGGAAAAGCGGTTCACGTTTTGTTTTCCGGTACCAAGGACGACACTGGCGAAAGCTGGTGTGATGATTGTCAGAGAGGTGAGGTTATGTTTTGTCGCCCGCATTTTGGTGTTTTTGAAAACGTATTAAAAATATGTTGAAAATGGTTTTAGAAAAACCGGTTATAATTTTTTTCTTAGCTTTGAATTATAACTGAAGCAATTTTTGCATTATAATATAAATGACAATATTTCAAGCCTTGCGGTACTGAGAAATTCATTGTTATCAGCATTTACTTTGTGATTATATACCTTGTTCATAGGTATAGCCTAGACCCTAGAGTAATGAAAGTAAAATGAATTATAATATATTACTGATAAAACACTTCAAATACCTGTTATCACAGCATTTACCCACAGTATCAGTTAATTCAGAAAGAACCACTTAAACTTACTGCTTACTTAAATAGTAATCTATAGTATGACTTGGATTTATTATATTGGCGTTTATTGAATAAAAAAATCGGCAGTAACTTTTGGTTTTCTTATTTGTGGAATAAACCAGTGAACATGATGACGCCAAAATGACGTCATTATACGGTCACTTTTGGTTGGAAACGTCATTGACTAAAAAATTACGTATTTATTGACGCCACTTTTATGACGTGAACAAGACGTACTTTAAAAAGCCGCCATTTTGACGTATTTTTTAGGACATCAGTACCGAGAAATCGACACTGACCTACAAAGAAAATATAGACTTTTATATTCAGGGTTAAGTGGAATAACATTGTGGGTCACATCAGTGGCGCCCTTAGCCAAACTCTTTTTTTATAAAAATCTATGTTTATTTGTTGGTGTTTGGCGAATAAAGACGTTTTTTATTATTATTATTATTATATATAGACTAGACAGTAAGGGAAACTAGATATCCAAATACTAATAACTACTTTATTGTTATTTATAAAAAAGTGTCAGGAAATATCGTCCAAAAATATCTTTTTTCTAATAATAATATTCCATGTCAAAATTTTTAGAAACTGCCAGTTTACATCATGTTTTATTTCCGCAAATAACAAATTTTTACGAGCGACTGTACGTCATATCGACGTCACATAGACGTCATATCCACGTCATAGAGGCGTCATATCGACTGTGTATTTGGTCTTTCATACGACATACTATGACGTCAATGGGGTGTGACATTAGACCTTCATAATGACGTCATTTATACGTCATTTTTGTATATGTTCACTGGGAAGACTAAATAAAAATATATTTTAATTGATATATTTTCTAGCATGGCCTGTGATAGAGAAGGAGCTAGAAAAAGCTGACCCTGAGTCTTATTTCATCTATGTTCAAGTTGGAGACAGGCCTACGTATGTATATTTGCTCTATACTTACTACAGATCATTTTATATTTCTGTTAGTTGTTCATGCGGAGCATTTTATTATTTTTTCTGATTTCAGGTGGAAAGATCCAAACTGTCGCTTTAGGAAGGACCCAAAAACCAAACTGTTAGTTCTGCCAACACTTATGAGATGGAACTGTCCACAAAGACTTGAAGGTGATAAGTGCGAGAAAGAGGAACTAGTCTCTATGCTTTTTACTTATGATGAAGATGATTGAACTATTTTGTGCCCTATATAAAATAAGATGCATACATATACTTGTATACTTAAAAATAATCTGTGTACTGGTAGCATTTGAAGTATTATAAATAAACAGCCAGTCAAAATATTAATCTATGTATTGAAATATTTTTTAATTTTAGTAAAGCATTATACATTTTCAATATTTCTGTGTGTGTAATCGTTAATTTTCCTGAGACCCCGTTGTATTTTTTAATTTTTCCGAGACGCAAATTTTCTTATTTAATAGTTGAATCCGTCATTGCAATAACCTCGTAATTTGAATTTTCCAGGAGACAGTAAAAAACAGTATCAGTGAGAAATGAACCAGTTTTAAAGTACTTTTCTAGTTTTAATGTTGTATTTGGGTTGTACAAGAAATTTCGAATAACGTGCACGGTTTATTAATGATAATAATGGAATAAGCCTGAAAAGCTGTTATGGACTTACGCTGTTTTAGCAGAAAATAGGGTTACTGATACGGATCTTAAGCAAAAGAATTATTTTACTCATATCTTTCATTGCTTATATTATTGAAAGTTAAACTTGATTATTGATTTATCAACATGCTACACGATCTAATTTTGCACGTGATATTTTTGAGGTATATACATTGAGCGACAACTCTGGTTGCCTATAGTTAAGCACGATGATAATACGAGTATATACCATATTATGTATACCTGTGTGTATACGTTCATGGATTTTCGTTCGTTGTCGGAAATACGAAGGTACAAGTGGCTTCCACCTGCGATCCGACATTCGTAAACTTCATGACGAAAAATAATAATATTGAAACAACTCGAACTTGAAAAAGCCCGAAGTATTGATGATCTGAAGACCCATTTGCACGTAATCTTTACATCAGATTCGGATCCACAATTATTACAAATTTTTTAACGGCCATGTGTTCGTACTGAACCCTCCGAATTAACAGAACGTATCAGGTTTTATTCATTTGTAATAACAGGAGACTGAAAAGCAAATTTATCTATTGAAGTTTTATGGTCTCATATATCTTAATTCAACATTAGTTCATATACAATGGAAATGTCGCATCCCTATTTGTGACTCTCCTGGTATATTTTGGGAAAAAACGCTCGGACATATCAATTTTTATAACACAAAATCAACTTGACGTACTTGCTAAAACAACTTAACAGACATCACGAAACAAACTGTGATGTGTATAGAAACATCAGCGCAGCCACTTGATGAAAATTTGCCAAGTAACGGTAAAAATACCGGTTACACCATCGATACTGGACTATTCAGTGTTGGTGAAGTTCAGCAACATTTCGGCGCAGAAGCCCGCCTCTCGCACGCCGAGTATTTGGAAGGTCACCGAGTGCGTTCGGGGTTCGAGTACCATCTCCAACTCGCATGGTGCCGACGTATTGGCACGGGTACCAGCGCGCCGGAACCGCTCTTCAGTCAGCTGATTGCCCGCCAAGTGTTTACAGTGGTTCCACGCAAGTGCTAGTTCGAAAACATGCCGCCTTCCAAGATTGTTTTGGATGATGATCAGAGGTTCGCCTTGATGAAGGTAAATAATTTACATTATGCCTACTAAGTGCCGTCAAGTAGGTTGACTCTGTGCTTTTCACGCAACGTTGTCATCGGTTCATAAGCACAAGTTAGTCCTTCTGAATTAGGTATAAACATAAATAACAAAAAAAATAAGTGGATTAAGTCCCAACCTATTTGATAACGTTAAGTATCGATCATCTGGCAACGGTGCTGAACCACACGAGTATAGAAATTTGAGAGAACCCAGTGTTGCCATATTAAGGGATTTTCCGCCAAACTTGGGGAACTTTCACGTCTCTTGGTGAGTTTTTGAGGGATAAAATGTTCTAGATGATTTTTTGAGGGAAAAATAAAATTGTTAAGTATTTTTGGGGTGTTTAATTAGTACGAAAAACCATCCACTGATAAATATCAGTTTTATCTTTCTGCTTTCTCTTTTCCCATGTCGGGCCCATCTCCACAAAACATCTACGCTGACCCCCCTCTACACCTTTACGTCAATTCTACAGGGTGGCCAACAAAGAATGCGAGGTACTGTATCTGGGAATCCATCCATCGTAGAGGGATTCTAATACGGCCAAAATAAAAATCTGGAAAATATATAGGTATTCAAGTTTCTGAAATGACCGCTAAGGGGCGTCACTGCAATCTTGAATCTAAAAAAGAGATGTTTCTGTGAATTCTGCAACACTAACCGAAAAAAATACCTCATCTTTAAATTTGAGGATAATCTAAATCTAAATCATAAATGAAATATGAGTAATGATTGATTTCACAATTTTTCCCCCTGAAAGTTTTTTGGCTACACCCAAGTGTTGAATATAAGAAAATAAAGTAAACACTTTAAGTAAAAGCAAAGAAAAAAAAATGACGCAGCAAACTAAGATCTGCTCAGTTTGTTTGTTTGTTAAATATTTGTTTAGCATTAATGCTACAATGTCATTATGGTTATTCCTTTATACATTTATTGTTTTGTTGTGATGAGAATGACTATTTAATTTTGTGGAGTTTTTTAAATGTGGTGGTAATAAATGATTTTTTAATTTGAATATTTTAACATGAGAACTAAATGACATATATTTTTTTTACATTCAAACACTGTAGTTCTTCTAACATACATATACAATCATAGCATATTTGATTTTGTTTAAAATAATTCTCATATGCTTATTTTGTGGATTTCGTAATTTTGAAAATATGTTTTCATTTGCTGTAAACAAGATGGTTGAAGTATATAAAAAATTAGGAAGAATTATGCTGTTATACACAATTTTTTGGAATACATTCTAAGATTATGGTAAGCTCTATAGAAGTAATTTATCTTTTCTTGATATTTTTGTGCTCTTGAAACAGTAGTTTACTATCCACATACATATATCCTCCTGCGCTACGAAATGATTATTAAAGTTTCAAAAATAGTCTTAATACGTTACGTAATAAATTTGACAACCCATACACAAATTTTGTCACACATAAAACCGCAGCCCCTCTAACACAGACTTAATCTTAGCATATTTGTTTTTACTTAAAATGAATGAGAGTCAACCTCCTTGACGGCATTTTCTTAGTCTTATGTACTATAGACACCACAAAGCAGAAAAACGTATTTGAAAATCAAACATTTTCATTTTCAAATATTACCATATTATCAGTGACGAATACCTATGTATGTAGTATTTATAATTATTTGAAGCTCGAATATTTGAACAATTAGTTTTATCTCTATTCCTTTTAAAAATAGATATGCAATAATAGGTGTTGCTTATTGTTTCGCATTGTATAATAGATATATTGATATGAAGCAAATGAACATTATCTACTTTACCTAGAAAATTTTGAACAATCAATAGTTGATGAGGACACCCAGCGAAAGTCATCAGATCAGTCATAGTACGAAAACACATTATCGCAAACAATTAGAACTATTTTGATTTCATCACAAGCTATTGTTGAACTGTTTACTTATCTGATAGATCTCAGATGATAAAATATGGTCGTGGTAACTTCTGGAGTCCCACAGGGTTCCCACTTAGGCCCGTTGCAATATACTATATTTATTAATGATCTTGTGAGTTTAGTACGCAGTGAAACTCTTTTATTTGCGGATGATGTTAAGATTTTTACAGTCATTGACCATATTTATCATTGGTGTGGAGCGAATGTTGTACTTCTGATGCGAAACCTATTAAAATTACATTTAGTCGATCTTCTTACTTATTCTTAGAGTATCAACGGTAGATCTTTACAAACTACAGTCTAGATCAAGGACTTTGTTATTTCATTTAGCTTACATATTGAAAAAACAATAAACTGTGCATATAATATGTTGGGTTTAGAAATCGGCATTGCGTTGATGTGTCACTTTTTCGTTTAAAATTGGTTCGTTCGTTACTTGAGTATTGCTTCTCCATCTCATCTACAAGTTATATCTTATAGACTAACCAATAGAGCATGTACAGCATTTTTTGAGAATCTGTGGATATAAAATAACCCGTAACTCATCTTCTTAGACTGAGTAATAGATATATAGTTTAGAAGTATTTGGGACTTCTGTTGACGAGTATAAACGAAGTGTTAAGAACATTACAATATAAGTCTCTAATTCAAGACTGTTTTGTATTTGTAACAAGGTTTTACTCGTTGATTAAATAAATAAATAAAGTTTGACCAAAGAAAGAAACTTAAAGATTACCGATAAATGTTTCTACTGTCACTTGTTGAAGCTCTACTAAATAAAAGCACTGAAGAAATATTGTAATACAATTCTGGAAAACAACAAAATACGAGTAAAAGTCAGTTGTTACATTTAAAAAATAAGACGACTGCTGGTAAAACCAATTGATATTATATATTCTGCAATAATTACAAATTGGGATATTTTTGCAGTTTTATAGTATTTATTTCTCATGCAAAATAGGATAAACTTGCGTGCCTAATTAATCGAGAACGAGTATTTTATAAAAGGAAAAAAGAAGAAAACATCGACGTTAATAATCACCTTGAATTCAGCAGGTATAAATAGATAAAAAATAGAGACTGAAAGACGTCAATTCTTTGTGGAATCGGAATTCCCCATCCGATACAAAATTTCGTTATTACAGCAGGATCAATACAAACGCAACAAGCAAAATGTTAGTGAAATTAGCAACGTCATAACTTTTTTATTTTTCATCCGATTCCACTGACTACTTCAGCAGGCGGTAGATACACTCATTGCCTTTATTTTGTAAATACGAGTTCTTGATTTTAGTTACGGTTTGACTTGTCGTACAGGGTAAATCGAAACGAAGTTTCATTACATCAACTTTGAATCACTCTGTGGTGTGAATCCAGTTACCAATCAGACCGCAATGCTGCCATTACCAAGAACCAGATATATATATATAATTCACTTCAATACATAATAGTATTAGAAGCAAATGAAGATTTTACGACCAATTTTGCTCCTTCCTTCAATAACTCTTTTAATTCCCGTACGAAGTCAAAAAGTTTTTCATCAATTAGTACAAAAATCTATTGCCTTTCTGTGCTAGGTTCACATTTTTCTTGTCGTCATTGCTTCAGTTTATCTACAGTGACGAAGAAAATGAAACCTTTCGACTTAATTTAAGTACACGCTGTATAACAACTTCACACTCTACCCTCTTGAAATACAGTGTCACATCAATAACCATATGTACAGGTATTTTCACAGCATACTGTTCATATTTTTTGCCTCAATTGGGTAAGCACTGTATCAGTTCTTCCGTATGTTGGACCTTTTCGCAATTACATCTATTTAAATCAGTGATCGCAAACCTTTTCAGTGTGTTGAGCTGCTTTGATAATTTGGGAATAAACAGTGAGCTACCTATTCAGTGTAAGCCAACTTAAATGAAATTATACACAGTTATACGCGACATACATGTGTTTATTTTACTAATACTAATTCATACTAATTAACTTAAATAAACTAATAACTGATACATACTAATACATAACTACATCCATTCCTAAAAATCGTAGGTGTTCGAAAAATAAACAAAATTCATCGGCCAAGGTTTTGAATAAATCTTCTTTGTAAGGCTTGAGCTCCAATTTACTAATTAAATTACTACCATTTTCGATATAGAAGAAATAATATTTTTAAAAGAAGAAAACAAGTCCTGCCCAGTAGTCTGTCCTTTCAGTGGAATAAACTTCAAAAGACCTTCTTTAATCGCGAAATCACTAAAAACCATCCTGACGAACACGGCCATCAGCGAGGTGTCAACGACATCTGTGGATTCTTCAGTGCAAAATAAGCACAGTTATCGAAGTCATTTCTTAACTGTAAAACTATATCATTGCTCATTACTTCTACATGCCTCACCACTGTATTAGCAGAAAGTTGCATAGACACTTATCCCATCTTTATTTCTAAAGTTGGCAAATAATGAATCTACAGCTTCTAAAAACCCCCGTTTTATCATTTCCCCGTCTTCATAAGGTTTCTTCTTTTGTGTAATTATCTGGGGTACCCGGTATGATGCTTGAGTTGCAGCCTTATGTTTGTCGATTGTTTTTAAAAACATTGTTGTCCAATTAACTGATTTTTAAATCGTTTCAGTTTTTCCGTTTTGTTTTAGTACGGAAACAGATGTATTATATAACAAACATACAAAGCACCGTCGCCGCGCTTTGAGTATTTATTCCGTTCAAAGTAGTCGAGATCGTTCTCGAACAGATCGCTCACCGCAGTGTTGCCGGTGCTTGTGTTTATTATGAGAATTTACAAAATTTACGGAAGCTTCTATGATTTTCACACCTTTTTACAATATGTTGTGGCCACCAGAATTGCCTTTGCGAGCTAGCGGTAGCTCGCGATCGACGGGTCGGCGACCACTGGCTTAAATAGTTACTGTAATCATGAATAAATTTGTTTATTATTAAAAGTCAAAAACGATTTTGAAAATAAATCTTTATTGCTTAACAAAATAAGCACAGTTATCGAAGTCGTTTCTTAACTGTAAAACTATATCATTGCTCATTACTTCTACATGCCTCCCACTGTATTAGCAGAAAGTTGCATGGATTTTATAGCAAACACTTATCCCGTCTTTTTTTTCTAAAGTTGGCAAATAATGAATCTACAGCTTCTAAAAACGCCCGTTTTATCATGTCCCCGTCTTCATAAGGTTTCTTCTTTTGTGTAATTATCTGGGGTACCCGGTATGATGCTTGAGTTGCAGCCTTATTTTTGTCGATTGTTTTTAAAAACATTGTTGTCCAATTAACTGATTTTTTAATTGTTTCAGTTTTTCCGTTTTGTTTTAGTACGGAAACAGATGTATTATATAACAAACATACAAAGCACTGTCGCCGCGCCTTGAGTATTTATTCCGTTCAAAGTAGTCGAGATCGTTCTCGAACAGATCGCTCACCGCAGTGTTGCCGGTGCTTGTGTTTATTATGAGAATTTACAAAATTTACGGAAGCTTCTATGATTTTCACACCTTTTTACAATATGTTGTGGCCACCAGAATTGCCTTTGCGAGCTAGCGGTAGCTCGCGATCGACGGGTCGGCGACCACTGGCTTAAATAGTTACTGTAATCACGAATAAATTTGTTTATTATTAAAAGTCAAAAACGATTTTGAAAATAAATCTTTATTGCTTAACAAAATAAGCACAGTTATCGAAGTCGTTTCTTAACTGTAAAACTATATCATTGCTCATTACTTCTACATGCCTCCCACTGTATTAGCAGAAAGTTGCCTGGATTTTATAGCAAACACTTATCCCGTCTTTTTTTCTAAAGTTGGCAAATAATGCATCTACAGCTTCTAAAAACCCCCGTTTTATCATTTCCCCGTCTTCATAAGGTTTCTTCTTTAGTGTAATTATCTGGGGTACCCGGTATGATGCTTGAGTTGCAGCCTTATGTTTGTCGATTGTTTTAAAACATTGTTGTCCAATTAACTGATTTTTAAATCGTTTCAGTTTTTCCGTTTTGTTTTAGTACGGAAACAGATGTATTATACGTATATAACAAACATACAAAGCACTGTCGCCGCGCCTTGAGTATTTATTCCGTTCAAAGTAGTCGAGATCGTTCTCGAACAGATCGCTCACCGCAGTGTTGCCGATGCTTCTGTTTATTATGAGAATTTACAAAATTTACGGACGCTTCTATGATTTTCACACCTTTTTACAATATGTTGTGGCCACCAGAATTGCCTTTGCGAGCTAGCGGTAGCTCGCGATCGACGGGTCGGCGACCGCTGGCTTAAATAGTTACTGTAATCATGAATACATTTGTTTATTATTAAAATTCAAAAACGATTGTTTTTAAAAACATTGTCTGTTGTCCAATTAACTAATTTTTTAATTGTTTCAGTTTTTCCGTTCTGTTTTAGTACTGTCGCCGCGCCTTGAGTATTTATTCCGTTCAAAGTAGTCGAGATCGTTCTCGAACAGATCGCTCACCGCAGTGTTGCCGGTGCTTGTGTTTATTATGAGAATTTACAAAATTTACGGAAGCTTCTATGATTTTGACACCTTTTTTAGCGGTAGCTCGCGATCGACGGGTCGGCGACCACTGGCTTAAATAGTTACTGTAATCATGAATAAATTTGTTTATTGTTATTAAAAGCCAAAAACGATTTTGAAAATAAATCTTTATTGCTTAACAAAGTAATCGCAATCAGTTCACGTCTTCGTCGCTGCTGGCCGGTTTGGTCCTGATCAGATGCACGGTTTCTGCCTCGAGAGCGAGTTTTCTGATGTTGGCCAAACATCCAGCGGCTGCTTCTTGGAGTTTGTAGTCTTTGGTGGACACCGCCTTCAAGAGGAACGTCACCACACCTCCCTCGTGCATCGTGATACAGTTGAAAGGGTTTTGGGAGAGATGGTATAAAGCCAAGGCCGTCGTTCTGTGAACGTCAGGGTCTTCGTCTGCCATGTATTGGACCAGTGGGGTAATCGCTCCAAGTCTGGAAAATTTGAACATCATCTTTGGTTCAACAAGACATCGACCTAAACTGCTTTGCAACATGAAAATTTGAACCAAATTCAAATCTCGATATTTTCGTAATGGTTTTCGGTTTTCGGGAGGTTCTTGACCAATTCTTTGAGAATACTTATACAGGGTGAACAAAAAAAATGACGTTTTTTCCAGCAAAGTTTGGTGCTATGTGAGATTCTCATTTTTGACCTTGGAAATTTTCCTATGCATCTTTTTGATCTGACTAACTATCCTAAAAAAAAGTAATTTATCCAATTTTTCGGAAGTTGGCGTAACTCAAGTTATCGAATTTTGAAACAGTGTTACATTTATCACTAAAAAAGGGGCTCTTTTGGGGTTTGGGGAGGCCTCTTGCGGCCGCCCATTCAAGGGTATTTATTTAATTTATACCTCAAAAGCTTCTCCTACAAGACCTCAAAAAGTATCATAGGTTCATGGTAAAGTTTTGTTATTTAATTGTCAATAACGTCTTAAGGGACATATATGATTAAATAACAATGCTTTGAAATAAACTAAGTCTTAAAAGCATAAAAAGCCAGCACATTGAAAAGTGCAAGATTTAAATTTTTGTCAGTTGTGATGATTATCGACCCAAGAGCTAAATTCCTTTTGACAAATTATTTACCTTCCAAACATCTTGCAATTAGATCCCCAGGCGCAGCAATACGCTATAGCTGAAGCTAAATGCTGCCTCAACAGAACGTCTTCAGTGCCAACTAAATCCACAAGCATTTGTACTACACCATGGTCTGTAATAACTGCTAAGTTTCTAAAAAAAAAAAATTTTTTTCACTTCCAACCCGAGAAATCACCATGATTGACCGCAATATCCTATTGAGAAGTAGCATTCAAATATAATGAAAAGAAAAAAAAACAAACAGTTAAATAATGCCATTAGGAATTATATTGAGCCAATTCCATTCAGGAAGAAACGGCAATACAAATGCTTTTAGAGGACTTAACTGACAAAAGTCAAAAAACAAAAATTGGATCTACATTATCAAGCTGAAAAAATATTTCTGTTGGTGTACCACAAGGTAGTGAACTAGGTCCACTACTAGTTATTGTATACATTAATGATATTGTAATATTTTAGATTATTGCGAAATTCAGATATTTGCAGATGATACATAAATAATTCTAGATGAAAATATAGACACTGCTTTAAAAATGTTAAATTCTGACTTAGCAAATATCATAAATTGGTTAAATGCAATTAAACTAAAATTGAATGCTTTTAAAACAAGATGTATGCTAATAGGGAAATATCGAAATGAAAATATCATATTTAGGTTAAATGGTGAAATAATTGAAAATGTTGAATCAATTAAATATTTAGGTATATATATATATATACATATTATATGTGAAAAATTAAAGCTTCCGCCTTTTCTTGGGAACTTCGACAAAATTTAAGCAAGGAGGACTCTTTATACTTTTTTTATTCTCTCTAGCTTTCAATGGTCTTTGCCATCATCATCAGGAGCTGCAATTACATTGATAACAGTAGCAAAAATAGTGTAAAATGAAATTTAAATTAACTAAAAGTATAAAGAGTATATAAAGAGTCCTCCTTGCTTAAATTTTCTCGAAGTACCCAACAAAAGGCGGAAGCTTTAATTTTTCACCTAACTGGTCTAGACGACAATGACCACGTCTCAAGTTATTATATATAGTAAACTAAAGTTTGAGGATCGCTATGAATACATTATTTCGAAAAAAATATATACTTTTATAGTGCTTCTCATAGTCTTAGTACATATCCCAAAAAAATAGTTTATAGTACAATTATTCTACCGTATTTACTATATTGTTCAAATATCTTGTTCACTGCCAATAAATCTGTATTCTCAAAATCACAAGACCTGCAGAATAAGGCTCTATGAGAATAATATTGAATAAAAGTAAGTACACCAAATTAAAATCTTTGTTACCAAAATTTCAGTGGTTGGATATGAAAAATTTCACATCATATTTCGTTCCTATTTTAATATTTTAAATAAAAATTCATCTTTTGCCACAACATTTAGAACACTATATAGAATTGAATAATCATTACCACATTATTGTACAAGAGCAAATATGGAGTTTTATTTAAAAAATTGCAATCGATATTTTAGAAAGGTTTACTGGAATTTAATAACTAAATAATGATAGAAAGTCTACTTGTAATTTTAAGATTTTTAAAAGAAAATTAAAGGAATATTTCATGGGCAGTGAAAATTCTTAGAGATGCAAATTTTGTTTTTCTAACTATCTGTATGTTATGTAATTGTTGTAGTTTTTTAAAAGACTGTAATGGTAGCAATCATGCTAAATAAATGTTAAACAAAACAAACAAAAATTCGACAACCGAACTTATATTCCGAAATATTTTAGAACGATTAGAAATAAATAGCTCCTCACGTAGTTTTTTCTTCTTGACTACCTCATTCGGATTTGATGTTGCCAAAAAAACATTCTACCTTCACACCCCGTGGATGGACCAGTCAAAACCAAATCGGCTGACACCATGATATTTTGAAGTATTTGTAAAATGAGTTAAAAACGTCATTTTCGTGATGTAAAACAGAATATTTCGCGATATGAATAAAATTCTATAAACACCACGTTTGAAAATGCCACTAATGGCTCAGTTTTGATACTGGATATTTATAGTATAACATAATATTAAAATATAAATCATTGTTTGGAGCATGATGAATTCCCATCAAAATTAAAGTGTTCCAACATTACTCCTGCGCCAAAAGTTCAACATTTGGAGCTATACAGGGTGACTTTGAAGTTGAGTCATTAATTTTCAGATAATGATTGTAGAAGGAAGATAAACCAAAATATGTGTGTAAAATAAAAAAAAATTAAAAAAAATTTACCTTGTTTTATAAAGTATCCTCCCGACAAGTATTTCAGTGCGGACCTGTATTTGATCGTGAGGTCTTGGAGCACCGGCATGCCGTCGCCTGTGAGGTCTTAAGTCACCTGATTCACGAGCCCGATGTACTACATTAACAAAGGCACGAGGGGTTGGTTGCACTCGATTGGGAAACCGATCCGCATAAACATGTGCCATTTTTTATTTCGTTTGAGCCACGCAACAGACACCACTATTCACTCACGCGTTACCGACTGACACTGACTGTATACAACTGAATCAAATAATTGTAAAAACATCGTTCCAAATTCTTTCGCTTTTTTGTTTCCGATGCGATGAACCGATAAGGCGGATTATATCCGTTGTTGCCAAACACGAGCACATAATATTATTATTGAGACAGGGCGGTACTCAAACTTCCAAAGGGCTATAACTTTGTTACTTTAATTTTACCAGAAAAATGGTAAAGGAAAAAAACATTTCTTTTGATCAGATCTACTCACTGTTAAAATAAATGACTCAACTTCGAAGTCACCCTGTATACAAACATGCGGCTGATTAATGAAGGGAATATATAAACAAATCATTGAATTCGTTGAAGAAAACAAAATTTTTACAAGATATCAAGCTGGATTTAGAAAAAAACATTCTTAATAATAACAATAATCCTCACCAATATCTTTAGCTACTTCTGCAATTGCTGCACAAACACAGGCTAAAACTCTGGTGTCAGGAGATTTGAGTAGATTGACGATAAGCTCTAAACCACCAACAAAACATCGAACCATTTCTCCAGAATCGGTAGCATGTCTTATGCACGGTACTAAAGACCATGCTGCGTTAGCTTGAACCTGAAAAGCGTATTCTCAAAATGAAAAAATAACGTCACCATGAAATTCAAACAAAATCTTGAACAAACCGATGATGATAATCAGGAGACTGGATGCTATTTTGAGGCAATATTTTTGGTTGAAAAGCAGGAACAAGTAAACAAGGTGTATATTACTTTTTCATCAAATAATTGCAGGAAAATGTTTCATTGTATCCTAACGATTAAGCGTTATAATCGAAAAATGGTTATTTCCAAGCATAAAAAATTAATCGTGTTTTCGTAATTTTAATTCATTAGAAACAACCTTCAATTTGTATAAAGATCTACGCTCAACATCAATGTAGATGTAAATATTGGTATAAAATATGCCGTTCGCTTAATTGTTCTTAAGTAAAAACAAGTACATTTTCGAAAATATTAGAAGCCAGATTACTGTAAGTGATAAATGTTAAAATCTATCAAGACTATAGTCCGTGATATAGATTTTTTCTCGACACACGCACAAACACACATTTAATAGTAAATGTATAAATAAAATAAAAATATAACCCAAAAAACACAGTAGGTATCTCATTTTCGAAATTTTTCGCGACTACAATAGTTCCTCGCCATTCAGCGAGAGATGATAAAAATGTTAGAAAACGTTAATTTCTTGCGTGTTCTTTGTCTGAGTAATATTTAACAGCGCTTAAGAGACATTAACAAGCAGTATTCGTCCAAGGCCGAATTGCACGTCGATTTGCATCGAATTATTTCATAATGCACCGCGTTACCGACACATTCAGTTTCTAAATGATAGCTCGTTCCTAATTCAACAATAATTAGCCTTTAGGAGCAGTCACAGGCGAATGGTCAATGAACTTTCGTTGTGTCGAAAGTACTACCCGACGAGATCTGTTGCAGCGGAATATAATTCGAAAATTTTCAAATTCCGTTTATGCGGAGCAGCGCGTATGTACGGTTAGGTTGTGAAACGGATTTGCCAATGGGACCGGTTTCGATATAGACAGTGTTGCAAGATTAGGATTGAAATGCGTATTGGGTTCGTATGAAAATTACAGGGCGATTTTGAATGGAATATTCCACTTTTGAGGCTGTCTAAAAGCCAAAAAAATATAAGATATATACTTGTTACGAAATATGAAAAAAAGTTACTAAAACATGGGTTACGGGGTGATAAATTTGGAAATTTGGTATAATTGTTTTTTATCTTAAGAGGCTAGTTTAGGTTTAAATAGATTAAAATTATTAGATCCAGCGGAATATTATTGGCAAAAATATGTACGCCACTGCCTTTTTTGGAACTTTAATGTTCGTTGTTTTATTAAGCATCTAAAAATACAACTTCCTTGCCTCTTGTATTTTTTCGTATCTCACTTCGTTTTTAAGAAAAAAAAGAACCATTTTATTGCATGTCGCTGGACAAAATTAGTTATTAATTTTTGCAAAAAAAATCACAAGTTCCTTGGAAAACAAAAAATCATTTCTGCTTGGTTGTTTGACATTTGCACGTCAGCTCTTCTAGAAAAGAATTATTCGCGTAATTTTCTTTGCGAAATTTCTCTAAGA